CTTGAAAGAGAGACAAATCTAAAATTGAGTGCCTTGGTACTTGTCTGAAATTAAAAACCAAAACTATGATACTTCATGTGAATCACAGAACCTGCCTTTTGTAACAATTCCTGAAGGCATTACAACACTACAGAAAGAAAAGGAATTAAAACCACTTGCAGAAACCTTAAAACAAAAGAAAAATACAATCTCAGCAGTTGACATTATATCAACTAACATATCTGACCTCAATAAAAGTAAATTTAAAAAAACACACAAAAACCAAAACACCAAAAAACCCCCAAACAAACAAACTCCCCCTTCCCCCCAGCTAAGTACATATATTCTGCAATACAGTCTGCATACTACTCACCTTTTTCAAAAATTAATTCCAGAAGAAGTAGTTGTTTTACTACTTATAAATAATAGAACCAACACAATCCTCTACCAATGAAACCTTCATGAGACAATTTTTAGTCATGTACTTTTCCCATATATGAAAAAATTACTAATTTATGACACAAAGTATTAGTTAGAAGAAAGGATGTATAGGTTTCTAATATTGCTGTTTTTCAGGGACTGGTGATGTTTGTCTGTTTAATTAGCAAAACTTCAGCTCTTCCAACAGGCTATATATTACTACAGAAGCGCCACAGCAGTAGTGCAGTGGAACACATGATATGATGGATTGGTAATTCTTTGGGTTAATGGAATTGACCATATTCAGCTGTGGAGTTAAATAACAAGTTCTGGTAAAGCCTGCTAAAGCATACAAGATTTTATTTCCCTTTCCTCCTTCCTCAACATCCAATGCCATAACCTCTCAGATAAAATTGTTATTTTGTATTCAGAAACATTCCACCCCAAAAGAGAGCTTGTGTCTTTTGTATCCATGTAACTGAAGACACTAGTTGTGTCTTTTCATTCATCAGTTACATGGATACAAAACTTTATCACACGGTTAGGACTGTACTATCATCTGTTGTAATTATCCTCAATACAAGATCATACCTCCTCCTCCTACCACTAAAAACCAACTAAAATTGCCATTATCTCATTTATATTGCTTTCGTTCTTCTTTTCTCCAGGTTCCTGTGCAGGAAATTTTATTCAACTGAGGCTCTCCTGTCACAAGAGAGGTTGTTCTCTGCCTATGCATGGTGTCACTAGATAAACATATATTTCAAGCAAATTGTACGGCAACTAGTTAAATCCAGGACAAATGCATATGCCACCCCCTAACTCAGACACACTGTTTGTAATTTACATTCTTCTCCAAATTATAGCAATATAACCAAGAGAGGAATGTGCTTTAGTGCTTCTGGTGTTTTTGGTAGAGACCGTTAGTGACACATCATTTAATAACTCTTGAGTTAGCACACCTGAGTTCATTTTTGCTTGTCAGTTTAATGTGATATAAAGCAAAAATCTGATGAGGTGGCTGATGGAATTGTTTAGTCTGGAGAAGGGAGGCTCGGGGAGACCTTATCACCCCCTACAACTACCTGATGGAGGCTGTAGTGAGGTGGGTGTCAGACTCTTCTCCCAGGAAACAAGTAGTAGGACAAGAGGAAACATCCTCAAGTTGCACCAGGGGAGGTTTAGATTAGGTATTAGGAAAAATTTCATCACAGAAAGTTTGGTCAAGCACTGCAACAGGCTGCCTGGGGAAGTGGTGGTGTTAGTGTCCCTGGAAGTGTTCAAAAAACATGTGAGTGTGGCACCTGGGGACATGGCTTAGTAGTGTCATGATGGTGATACTAGGTTCATGAACTTGATGAACTTGGAGGCCTTTTCCAACCTTAATGATTGCCATGCTGTTGATTGAACTTGGTCTGACAATGTTTATTAGCACAAATATTAACTAATTTGAGCATAAAATATAAATTACAGGCTAATTCAGACAGATAAGCATGACTGCTACATCACTATTATGAAGAGTCCTTGCTAACAGGCCCTGTTTGAACCTACACATGCAGAACATGTTGTTTCTGGTCACTCTGCTTAACTTGGGAATGCTAGATGCAATAACACAAGGATATCTGTAGCAAACCCAGCTCTGGTGCAACAAAGATCATCAGTTTTGGCTCAATGTGGACTTCACTAGAGCTGAGTTGGCTCTTGCAGAGTCTGTTCACGTAAGCCAGTTTCTGAGGAAGCACAAAGCAGCAGACTGTGTCCAACATTGGCACAGAGGTAGCAGAACCCCAGAAATCAAGTCCTGGAAGCACAGCACACTAAGCACCTCTGAAGAAGGAAGGACAGCCAGCTTTGATTTGCAGCCCTAAAACCATGCTAAAGCTCTGCTTGGTATAACCAACATCTCTGTACCATTTCTCAGTATGTTCTCTAATAGTGAAAATATCCAGGCAGTAAACTATGACTATTCTACTGTATGTGACCCCTAAAACACTCAACGGGGGGAAAAAATCAAATCCTCCCATCTCTTACCCCAAGCACATATAATTTGTCCATTCCTGACCCATGCTTTGTCATTTCACATCATAAAAGACTGGAGAGGAATGGATGCCCTGGGTTAGGTATCATTTGCCTCTACTACAGTTCCTAACAGTCTCTTACAGTAAGAGTGTATGTTAGCTTATTACTGTCACAGCCTTTTCACTTCAAATTGTGTCTCTAGAGGCTTGACTGTGTCCTATTTATGGGCACTATGGCTTGTATTAGTTACTATATCCAAATTTACAACAAAATGAAGTTGAGTTAGAACTTCAATTTAATCTGAAGCTGCACACAAAGTCCCTTGTACTTCCCTGAACTTAAGATTGCTTAGGATTTTATTGCAGTAAGATTTTATTGATTTTGAAGTGGAAACATAACTGTGAGCAATGGGAAGTAATACAGATTTCAATATAATTTTCATTGAAAGAAGTGTTAAAGTAACTTTGAGTGAATTTAGTATTTGGTAGACTGACAACTGCAGAGAGAAGATTACACAAAAAAAACACTCTCTGAAGGGGAGGCAAATATCCTTTTTGAGTTTGCTGGTTTGTTTTTTTAAATCAAAACTTCAAAGCCACATTTTTCACTGGTGATGCCTGCACTAATGCTTTACATCTATATTTGGGGCATGTAAAAATGATCAAAAACGATTCTGTTATTGTCACTTGGTGAGTTACCACTGACTTGCTGCTGTTAAGCTCTGAAGTTTGGTTCTGTCCACCTTTAGTGTGAGTTCATAGTGGTTTAAGTAAATGCATTGCACTTCCTATTTAAAACAGGAGGAAACTTACACCAACAGCATACCAACTCTGCCAAATGGTAACTCAATATGCCATGACTTCTATTGCTGCTGTAAAAATATGACTGTAAGCACCAAATAGCTTATTTCTCCAAAACAGGAGAAGTTCTGGCAAACTTGAATGTACCCAGATGCAAGCTTCAAGCGCTTACTTCACTGGGGAGCTCTGAAAAATATAATAATCCTGGTAAGAGTCACAGAAACATAAGTGACTGCATGCACAGCAAATAGAACTTTAGTCTGACACTGTTGCCTATGTTTTTCCTGGTTTCATCCATTTATATTTATTATTTTTATGGTTTGATATCATTCAATTTTTGTCTCTGTTACCATGTCAACTCTCATCACCTTTCTCTTTTTCTTTTCAATTATATTTTTTCTCCTGAACACACTTTTTCTGTCCTCTTCCTTCCTAAGGCAGTCCTTTTCCCTTCAACTCCTACCAGGGGTATCTTGTACTCACCTGCTTTCTGTAAGCAGGCAGTTAAAATTGTCCTGCTCCAAGCTGTGCAGAGACCTTTTCACCCTTTGGTGAAGCTGTACTGACTGCCTTGAATCAGCTCCCTGTCCTGCATGTGCATTAGCAGAACTTTTAGGAGGATCTGTTCCGTGATCTTCCCAGGCACAGAGGGGAGGCTGGCAGGTTGGTATTTCTCAGGGCCCTCCTTTCTACCCTGTTTGCCTTTTTCCAGTCACCTAGGACTTCACCAGCAGGCAGATGCAGTAAAACAAAAAGCAACTCCTTGTAGTATAGAGTGTGGGAAAACACAGGGCAGAGCATTTCAGCGCTGACAAAGATGAAAACGTTTTGCTTCATGTTGTTTATGTCTGTAAGCTTCCTTCCACACCTGCCTAATGTTTAAAGTTGGGTTAGTGAAGCATCAAAATGAAGGTTTGTTTTTAGGCCTCTATTCCCTTGCAAACTCAGATAGTGAGTCTGGAGTCATTCCCACAATCCAGATTTACGAGAATTTCTAGTTTCTCTCAGTATCCTATAAAAATATCTGTAAGATACTTTTGTCAATTTACTTTAAAAAAAAAAAAACAAACAAAACCAAATTATAAAAATAAATAAATAGCTTTATTTTCCCCATTAAAATAAAGACAACTTGGTTTAAAATACTTGAAACAACTTCAGAAATGACTCACGGTTTATTTTTTAAACACTGCAATGAACAAAATATCCAGCTTTGCACTTTTTCTGTTCAGGATTTACCTATCAGTAATTTAAATTTTCACGGCATGGTAAGTTAATGGATATTTGTCTATGCTGTTATGATGGATTCAGTCGGTTTCCAAAATAATTTATTCTTAGTTCAAACCACAACCACCAACCATCAAAGAGGCCCCACAGCGTTCTGTTACTTTCCCTGATTAACACCTAAGATTTTGCTGATGCGAATATTGGAAAAACAAGTGTAACTGTTGGGTTAAACATTTGCTTCATTTAAACATTTTTTTGTCTGTTTTTAAATGCTGCTTTAATAATCTTTCTTGCTAGGGAGCAGTTAAAATTCCTGTGGGAAGGAATGACAACCTGCAATCACAGTCAACTATGACTAAATTTTGTCGTCATTTCAAACATCGTGTCTCCTTATTAGCACTACACTACATTATAGAATTTGATAAGCTTTCCAGAGGTTAATCTAAAAATTGACAACTACTTTCTTACCTGAAACAATATGCAAGTTTGGCAAATTGATTTACTTAGGAATATTCATTGTGAATATTCTAGGCTTTACATAGGTTTAGACATGACAGCTTGACTTCAAAATTGGTTTTTATTTTATTAAAAGCACGTTAAGAAATCTAGAGAGAGAAATACAGCATTGGACCTTAGGTCAATTAAACTTTCTGTCAACCCACCAATTTCCCTTCTTCAGAAAGAGAATGAAAAAGTCAACTACTTGCACAACTCCAGCCCAGGTGAGATGCTTTGCCACCTGCCGACATCCACTGCTTATTTCAGAAATGACACATACCTTCATGTGGGATGTGGTTTTATTCTGTATAACCAACTTCTAAGAGGCATGCTCTAGTTACATTTATGTATTGCAGGCAGAATTTGCTTGTTTGCAGCAACTTCGCTTTTGCTTCTTTTCAATTCATTTTAGACCAAAACTGGTCATCCATTCAGTGTAAAATTGAAAACAACTCCTTCATGATCAGTATTTTTAAGCATACAGTATATAAACTAGTCAGTGCACTAGCATACACTCAGCCTAACAAAATGCTGCCTAGCCAGTGTGGGGAACAAAGAATGTAACATTTTTAAGCACTTCTTATGAACACGCAATAAAATTTTAGATGGGGTTGGTTCCACTTAATTTGATTTCATTTTCCCCAGAGTCATCAAAGTCTGGTACGAACAAGTTATTGCACTTTATGAAATGTTTCTACAGAAGTAATCAAATCTATTTAACTGATAATTAGTCATCATTAATAATCACAGCTAGCAGTGAGATGGAAATGGTGAACATTTTAAAATTAGTAATCATTTATTTTTTGAATAATCAGCGTCGAACCAAAACAAGAGTTTGGAGAACCTTCAAAATGTGCACCTTAGTTACAAAGCTGCTGCTTTTGCTAAATGAAGATGTGGCATGTTCAGCAGTTCAAATACCATGAACTGCAATTTAGAGCATTACAATGGTTTGGAACAAACAGAAAAAAAGTTAAGCATACTAAACATTATTGAATGATATTAACTGTAAAACTTGTATGTGTGTTAATATGATCTAAAGAAGTGATTTTATCATTGCTGAACCATCAGAGAAATGAGTCCATCTGTCACAATTTGCAGTTACAAGCTGAGAGTCCACTTTGGACTTTGGCTGTCATTCCTGGTACCCTGCAAGAAAATGTCTGAACACCTGTTTGGGCCAACAGGAGCTGAGTTTCCCTCCTGCATATTCTCCTAGGCTTAGAATCATGGAATCACAGAACGGTTTGGCTTGGAAGGGACCTTAAAGACCACCATAGTTCCAACCCCTCTGGTATAGGTAGAGACACTGTCCACTAGACAAGAGTACTCAGAGCCCCATCTAAAATAGTCTCAGTAACTTAGGGGAAATACATTGGAAAAAGCATATGGGTTATTTGCCTCTGCAAAGACCCTGAGGAGAAAGAACTAAAAATGAATGGCCTGCATGGTGTCTGTTTCCCTGGAATCATGGAACCCCTTCTCAGTCAAAGCACAGTGGGCAGAACAACTCCTGCCAATCCATCAGCAGTGCCACAAGGACTCACTTTCCTGGCAAGAAGTGGGGTTCCCTCCAGCAGCCCCATCCACGAGGCCTGTCAGGACTGCATTTGGTGCGGCAGCACCTACAGACACACACTAAACCCTGCACTCCCTCTGCACCCTCCTGGGCCATGGCAAGGGCTGAGATTTTCACCAAACAGCCTGGCCCTTGGACTTGCTCGCAAATGACACAAACCCCTCCGTCACTTCATTGAAGGTAAGGCAGGAGGCCATGGTTCCCTCCAAGCAAGGCAGAGAGCATTGTGAAAACATAAGGCCACTGCCCTGCCCACACATTATCTGACTTGTAGAAGTAAAGTTGTATTTCGTATGGGACAAACACCAAACTATCTAATTGGAATAAGTTATAGCATGGATAAATCTACTTTTTAAAGCTGAAAAAAATTTAACAGAATGCAATGAGATCACATGGATTATTAACACTTCTGTTACACCAAAGGCCTAAAAATGGCCATCATTGATACAGCAAAGCTATCAATGAAGATGGAGGCAGGAGAATTAGTCCTTGTTTAACTCTTATGAGTGACAGAACACATTTGTCTTCATCTTAGTCATTGCCAAGCTAAACTGATAACATCCATAACCCTGAGGAGTTTAATTGTGTTACAGGAAAAAAAAATTCCCAATTTAAATTACTTTTTGTCTTGAAAATCAAAGCCTAAAGGGCAACACAACCAAAGATCCTCCTTCATGAGAATTTCAGAAACTGTATTTTACTGTTTCGATGTCAGACCATTTGTTGTATTCGGTTTTGCTTCTTCCCCTGGAGACTAAAGTTAGAAATTTCAAAAACATCATAAAGGGCTATAGCTTGCTGCAGTCCTACTCCACAATCTTCCAGTGAAACTTTAACCCTATATATAAGGATTTAATATATAAGGATAGTATATAGGGGTTTTCTGCTATTTCAAGGTGAAATTTCTCCACTTTGACTACTAGATAGCTGCTGAGTGCAGATGGCCACTTGTTTTGCAGTGTGTTCACTGACAGTGGTTGTCATACAAACAGTTATGATGATGATGTTTTCATTTATAGTCCAAGCCTTGGAGTAAAATCTTCCAAAATGAAAAGCTAAACACTTAGTAACAAATTTAACTTGTTCCCTAATGCATATGAAATGAACATATGCAGTTACTCAGAGACTACTCAGAAAGTTAGTTACAATGTTATCATGCTGTTATTAGCCAAAATTATGCCCATCATTCTTGACAGGGTCTCTACCAACATTAGTTATCATGCACTGAAATAAACTGCAGTTAACACTCCACCACATGAGGTAATGAGGACTGGAATTGCCCAGAGAATGACACAAGAAGGCAGATCTGGCTCAGTTGCCTGCAGGAGGCAGCACAGGGAGCTTGGTGGCCTGGCCACACAGTAGAGAGCAGCCTTTAGGCCAGGGCTGGACTACAGCACGGAGCACCTGCCTTTCTCTGAGACATCAGGGACCGCTATTCAGCACCAAGCAAGTGACTTTGCTGAGTGGTGACAGAAAAGTACTGCTCCCTGACATGACGTTTTTATGTACGCCACACAGTCATGCTATGTGAGGCCTACCAGATCAGCACTAGTTTTACACCGATCCAAAAGCTCAGGGGCTCTGCAGATTAACTGTGCAACAAATGCAAATTTAGTGAAATGCCCCAGGTTCTGGTAAATGTGGTTCACATCTGAAAGAGACCATCAGCACATTGAGTCCCTTCCCTTGCAAGTACCAAGTGTAACCAGATGAAACTCTTTAATTATCAGACTTGGTGTTGGTGGATGATTGAGGAAATGACATGCAGATCACATACAGACAAATTGTAATAATTCTTCTAGCAAACCTCCCTATGCCAAAGTAAAAAGCAGAAAACAAAGAGTTACCGCACAACTTCTGCTGACAGATGCTGGCAGCAGGGAATAGAGGAGGTTTTGCATTCAGAAATGTGAGAGCCTCACCAGCCTCTGACACTAAGGCCAAAAGAGGAGAGAAAGGCCAGGCTTCCTCTGCAATCAGAGGGAAGGTTTTGAAAATGATTACTCCCCAAAGGGTCAGATTTTTAAAAGCATCTGGTTATCTGGTAAGATTATCAAAACTTGTAGGTCTTTTTAAACAGCTAAACCCCCTGAAAAAAAAAATCTGACTTAATAGCTGAATCATCCCTTAGTAAAGCAAACAAAGTTCATTTCAGCTTTGAAGGTGGAAGATCAGTCCTTAAAAGGAAAAATTCTGAAAATGGAAATGAGCCTTCTCTTCCCTCTTCCATCTGTAAGGTACAAAAGACAGAGGCATACAGAAAGGAGCAGCTTTACCCTGTGATTGCTGCAGGTAACTAATAAATAATTAAAAGAAAGCCTTATGTTTGCAAAGAATTATTTCAACTGTGACCCTTGGGGCCTAAACTTTTCAGCAACAATTCTGAAGTATCCTGATGACATGCCTCTGATGAAAACATGCAAATAATAAAGATACTGAATGTGGCAACTTTAGGTAGTTCAGGTACAGCCACAAATTAATTGGAATATATTACTCATCTACCTATGGTGAGCTTCTCTGTGTTATGACAACTAGAACTGAAATAGAAGGAACTGAAGAATTTTTTTCTTACGAAAAATAAAGTATTTGGTAACAAAAATGAAAAGCCACATCTTCAGAGAGCGATATACACTAATGATCTCTAGCAACTCATCAAATACAATCTAAGTTTCTTTTTCTCTGAGACAATTCAAATGGGAATTATCTTTCTCTCAAAAAGGAATATTTCTGCTCACAGTCTTACTGTTTTCGTAACTCTTTCTGCTTGTATGGTTGAACATACAGTCAAGAAAGACTAACAGAAAGGGGAGAAAGTTATAGGTATACAATATGAAAAGAAGCAGTTCCTGATACTGAATTATAGTGTTGAAATAACAGACTCTTCCCATTAATACACATTAGTAAGTTCCTGCAGATCTCTGCCTTTATGACATAGCTTTGTGAAAAAAAAGGTCAGTAATGGTACCAAAAAAAAAAGGTACTACCTAGGACAGCATAGACCATGTTAGGAATCATAGAAATGTTAGTTTAATGATAAAACCCTTAGTATATTATTAAAAAAAAAACAACAAAGGAGCATGGTTTAATAGCAACAGCAGAAACTTATTTTTATTTTTTAACACAAGTCATTTTCACCTTCCATTAGGCTCTTCCATACAAGATGGAAGTTTTCTTTTTTTTTTTTGAAAGAAAAATTTGACATACAAAATCTTTTTTCTGCTTGTTTAGAAGCCTTGTAAAAATTCTTGTAGCTGGGCAACTATTTCTGTATCCACAGTTTCCATAAGGGCCTGAAAACCTTGTTCTCCCACTAATTCCTGCTGCGCCTTTAGCTTCTCATAGATGAACTGCTGCAATGACACAGTGTGTACAGGGTCCTTCAGTGCAAGCTGTGGAAAACATGTAAGAGAAAAATACATAATAATGCATTAAAAAATATTCTGTGACTTACTAATTTCTGTTATAACTTCAGCTCAGGAAAGAAATCTGCTTTTTTTTTCTTTGTACTTAACTGAGAAACAAAAAATTTCTGAAAAATGATCAATATAATTAATACCAAGGCAAATATCAGTTTTAAACTATTTGAAGCAGTGTCAAACCATGAGAGTCTTATATTTTGCTCTAAGATTTCATGCTTCTATAAGATAAAACAATTCAAAGCTGCTTTATTAGTTACTAAATGAGTTTTCTATAACTCCTAAAAATCACATCAGATATTACCACAACAAGCACTTTCGTGATGGCATGAACTACAGTCAGTTTTATTTTACTAGTAAGAAAACAGAACACAGAAGAAGTCAAACTAGTTTAGACTAGTTTAACAACAGTTAAAATAAACTGTCCATATACATAAAGAATAGACACACCTCAGTGGTAGTACCCTATAAACCTCATCAGTCCTCATCAGATTATACAATTTTCTTTTGGGCAGAGAGGGACAGAGTATTTGTCACTCTTTTCCACATGTTAACTGCTTCTTAATGAAAGTAAAAAGGTAAAATAAGGGGTTATATTGACAGAGGATGTATTGTTAATTTCAGGGTCAGCAGGATGTGTGGCAGCATTTGTCCTTCAGTCTACCAGGGGGTAGGAGGTAGAGCTTGATACATTCTAAAGAAGTAGGATGTTAAAATCAATGGTTAATTAATGCAGATCTATGATCTGTTCATCTCAAGTGTCAAAACCAAACAACACTATCGTTTATGCTGGAAGGTCAGGAAACAAAATATAATGCCAGATCTCAAAGTCCACTGAAATAGGAGACTTATGAGCCTATAATACCTTGCTACAGTGTTATTTCTAAAGAAATAAGGCATATTAAACTTGCACAACAGCTCTTTTGGCATGATTAAAAAAAAGAAATATTTGAGTGTTAATATGGAGTAGAAGAAATTAAACCTTAAGATTACTTACTTAACATTACACCTAAAATGGGAAGATACTGAGTGAAGTGGCCACATAAATATAAAATATATTAAAACTTCCAAAACCACTGTAATTACTACAAAAGAGAAGTTAAGTCTTATTTCTTATAAACAACTCCAGTAAAAAAGCAGGCTGGTTTTTGGCCTCTTCTATCACTGCTTACAAGTTCTTCTTTCTTATTATGGTCAGTGCACCTTTGATATTTTAAGTCTCTTAAACATTCCCTCAGTATTCCTGATATTGGCTTTTCAGTCTTCAATCCTTCACCATTTTGTACTATACAGCTATTTCACATTTCAAAGGTAAGATATGATCATTTTATTACCTATTCTTAACATTACAGTCTTTTGAAAAGGGAAGTAATTGTAGTAATAGTTTAGTATTCTGTAGTATTTTTTTTCAGTAAACATAACTTGAATCTCGAAAATATAAAAGACTTTTCTAATGAAATTTCTAAATCATAGCTAATCTAATCAAGACTTGACAATGTTAGGGACATCCTTGTTTTAATAGCACTAACACAAGTCTACAGGGAAAAAAAAAGACTGTCTTACCAAGCAAAGAATCTATCAGTTTCTGAACAATTTGCATTTGTTCACCAACAACTGCAATTTGGGACATATAATGCATTTACAATTAGTTAGTTTCAGTAAGTTCATAGCTCTGAATAGTCATGTATAAAATTACTCCAGGGAATTTTGGATAGAAAAACAGGTATTAAAACTGCCATATACAAGTGTTCTCATCCTTGTAAGCCTGACACAGCAGCAACTAAATGAATGACAAAGTCGCCTTGGGAAGTGATGCCAAAAAGCCTTTCTTTTACAACCTTTTAACCTACAAACTGATTAATTTATGCATTTAGTTAACTGTATGACTTGTGCAACCCTACCATAAATTCTTGTTTAATTTAAAGTACTCTGAATAGGAAGCCAGAACAAATTGCCTTAAAATATCAACTTTAATATCAACAAAATATCAAGTTTTCTTTCTCTTCTGCTAAGAAAAATTGATTTAATCAGCAATTTCATATTACAAAGTTTATTTTCCAGATATCTTAAAAAAAAAAAAAGAAAAGAAAAAAACTCCAGACTTAAGTCAACAGTAAGTAAACTTCTGTCTTCTCGTATGTCAATGTTCACTAATGAGCCTCAAGTCCAAATTTTTTTCCAATTTTAAAAAGCTACTAGAATGCAAGTATGTGTGTAATGCTCTTCTAGTACCCCGGTGGTGATCTTCAAAGTCTGAACAAAAATGCTGTATTGTTTTGAAAACAAAGGGTTTGAATTCTTGCTTATTTATGAAATTTGCTGGAATGTCAAGTCTGAGCTTTCTGTAGCATCTCTTATAATAATATTATAGAGATGCTCTCTAGTATTTCTTAGATGTCCCAACTCCCCAGGACGCCTCATGGCTGGTGATGATGGGTTTCCAAACAATCCTCTGAATCATCTCAGCAATAATATGGAAAAGTAATTAATCTTGAAAAAACAATCTAAGTGAAGAAGATGACTAAACTTAATATATTGCATAATTCAAAGTTAATATCTTTTATTCCTAATGGAGCTGCCAGACTCGCACAGCGTTGGGAGTTCAGGAATATGTTACTCAAATAAATATTATAATTCCACATTTTCTTTTCCATAAAACTTCAGAGAACTTAGTCAAGTTGTATGTAGCCTTCCCATGATAAGGAACACTTCTGCTGCGTATTTACCAACATCTGTTCTCCAGGACAACTGAGAGACTGCACATAAACATGGTCCCCCTGATACCAAAATCTGGCCATCAAAGTCCAATGCAAAAATCCTGCTTAGTTTATTGCAACAAACATAAATCCATCCCTCATCATTTAAAGCAGCAGCACTCTAAGCCAGTAGGGACTTCGGTAGTATGATTAATGTTTGCTGTTGGAAGCATCATCTAGTATCTGTAAGCCAAATGGGACTTAAGAGTCTTCAGATTTAATTAAGGAGTTAATACCTTAATTTGTTTTCATTCAGATAGTCACATCAAAAGTATATCAAATAAATTAAAGCGTTTCCTGCAACAACAATTAACTCGATTTTCTTTCATTCTACTTTTCTTGAACTTGTATTCAAAGGTAACAAAATAAATGAAATAGTTTGATATAATGAGTTTGTCAACAACATTAGACAGCCAACTGCCGTCTTCACTGAATAAGCAAACAAAAGCATAAGTTTGGAAGAACAGTAAGCATAGTTGGTCAGGGACTATATATATCAACATAAGTTTCTACATGTGTGCTTTTTTTTAATTGAAATGTGCCTGATTCTGATAAGAGTAAAACATATCTGTTTTCCAGTTTAAAAAAAATCCTAGCAAATTCCCACAGCTTCTTAGTCAAAACAGCTACAGACAGGAAACAGAAGTTTGGCCAGTAGCTACACATTACTGAAATGTGCTTTATTCTGCACAATGAAAACCTGAGTTTGACTAGCTTTTGGACCTCGTTACTTTAGAAATTGATCTTGAAACTGGATGTGGCTGACCACCTTGGGGCTGTACTGAAGAAATTAATCTTCCACCTCAGTGCTTGTAAACAGAGGTCTGAAGCAGACAAACAGTTCTGAGGTTTCACAGAACAACCATATCCCATCTCTCCAAGCTCTACTTGCCAGCACCAAACAGCATTCTGCAGAATTAACAGTTGTTTGAACCGGTATTTGTTAAGTGGATCTCATTCCTCAACATCTTTAGGCAACACCACAGTCAAAAATCACACCATTTCCAATAAGCAGTTATACACTACTTTGTACTGGAACAGTGATCCAATTACCACAAGTGATAACACAAGTAAATGGAATGGCATTAACATGGAAGAACAGGTAATAAAAGTCTAATAAAACTTTAAAAAGTGTGTTGGTGATATATGAATTAAATTGTTGAAAAGATTTCCAGAATTTCAGAAATTCTCTTCAGCTTAAGTATGAATACTTTAATACTAAAGAGGCAGCCAGAATGCTGGGCAAAAATCATACATGTTTGCGATGATGGTTACTATCTTGTAACTGTGATGCTCTAGGAAAGACTAGAAAATAATTTAAGAAGGGAATGTATTCTTTACTATTCAAGTTTTTAAGAGATGTCAGTGAGACTCACATTAAATCTGTTGGTAATTTGTAGATTAAATGTCTAAGGAGAAATTATACTCCAAACAATGGAGTAAAAAGTATTACTTCAGTGAACCATGTTATCACATAAAAGATGACCATTTAACTTATTATAAATAAGTTATTTATTTTCCAGAAGATGTAAAAGCACAATTGATCTAGTTTCTTCCAATATGAAGGTAAAGCAAAAAAACCTCCCAAGCCTTCTCTGCTTACATATAAGCATCATCTGAAACATGAACCTACACAAATTCTTCAAGTTTAAATAAAATAGATCTTTATGGGAGGATACCTTACTTCATTTTTCCTGTCCATAGTTTCAAATAGGGTGTTGAAAAATTTTAACTCCCTTATTTCAACAATGATACTGAAGTTCTTAAAAACGTACATTAAGGGCATGTAAAAATAAGTCACCTTAGGCCAATACATTATGCGTGATGTAAGGACACGAATCACTCTCTACCTATTTACGTGTTCCTCAATATGTTTGCAATGAGACAAAAATATAGCAGTATTTGGAAATGTCAATCACATAAAATTATTATAAAATTATTATAAACTTATAAAGTACTGTTCCAGCAAAAATTCTCTAGTAATTATTAACTATGTGTAATATAAAGAAAGGTAGCAAGGGCAGGACAAAGAGATAGATCAAAGTATCTAGATCCTGTGCAAACATCAGGAAGTGATATTTAGCATGAACCATGCAAGTTGATCTCTTTTCCTCATATTAATGGTCTTAAAATTGAAAAACATTATTATTTTGAAGGAGAGAATCCCATTCATCTTTCATGATTCCAGTTTTATGAGATTTAATCTCTAAGTCCAGATACAAGCTGCTAATGTTTTGTTTTAAATCCAGTTTTTCAAATCAAATGCTAGCTGTGCTTTCAAAGTCATGATTATTATTTGACACTTCTGCTACTAGTGACCTACCAAATGACCTGTATAAATTCTGAAATAAATAGCCAAGTGTCAAGTCTCAATTTCTGCACCATCTGCAAAGCCATATACTGAGCTACAGTTGGGATTCAGAAAGAATTTATTACAGACATTCATAACAACTAGAGTTTGCTTGGTTTTGTGTAATTTTTTAAAGGAATATATTATATTGCTTTTGTAAATATATTCCTTATATACTAGCATTTTAAAAGAAAAGCTTACTAAGAAACCATGACTTTTGAGTAAGAGTTCTTTACACTAGAAAAAGGTTCTATGCAAGCACATAATTGCATTAAATATGAGAAATTCCGCCTGCCATGACATTTCAGTAAGGTTTAGTTCTGGTTTTTTTAATAAATTCTTTTTATATTGTCTGAGTATTGTGAAGTCCAGATTTTGTGAACAGACAATGTTTATTTTGACAACAGTCTCCAAGATGCAAAAGGAAAGCAGAAGCATAAGTGTTGTGGCTGCAAGGTTTGTCATCAAATCATCCTCTTTTGATTCAACAGATGAATTTTCCAAGAAGAATAGATGAACCAAAGCCAAAAAGAATTTAGTGAAGCACATAATCAGGTCTACAACTGAATAAAAAAATCGAAAACTTACCATTTTTTTCCTTTTGTCTTGTTCTGTAGGAGGTTCCTCATCATCTGTAGCTTTGGGCTCTTCAAAATGAGACATTAACATGCAGCTAAGAAGGGAATAAGAGCAGTTTTAATATGCATTACCATTAAAAATTACTTTAAAGCTCTTCTAAAAATACAAAATAGATATGAGAGAGTTTGCTGAAAGTCAGATGATCTGTTAACAAGTAATTTTTTTCTGAAAACAGTGAATCTGATGAAGCCTGAATGCATGTTCTCTGTCACCTCAATCCATGTAACAATTTCAGCTATTTTCCACATTTTAGCTTAAGATGTGGTTCTAAAATGCATTCCTGTATATAGAAAACAGACTACATGGTTTTGAAAAAGAATTAATACAGAAAAACCTACTGTTCCTAACCAGAATTTTCCATTCTTTTCAAGAAAGTGCTATACAACCACTCTATCCTATCAGCATGAAAGTCAAAGTGGCACATATACAAAGCTAGCAAAGATTTCCCACAGCGTTCATGGTTTTCTGTAAGATCTTTAATATGAAGACCTGAAAACTAATAAGGGCACTGCTATTGGTTCTACACTAAAATCTAGAAGACACTGAACAATAATGTTTTAGGTGAACAGAAATGAGCTAGCTTCTGCAGACATTTACTGTTTCTAGGTAGGTAAAGCAAAGGTTTTAAATTTATTTTTTGTTTTGCTTCATGCTCAACTGGCAATATACAAAAGCAACCACCTTATTTTAACTATGATTTTTGTAGTAAGTGTAAAACCAGAAAATATGGAGAAAAAAATAGTTTAAATGTCAGAGGTTTTTCTGTCTCTTAAAACAGTTTGAATGCTCTTTTACAAAGACATTGATGAAAGCTATCCTATAACAAGCATGTCTTCCATTCTCTTCGCATGCTCCACACTGAAAGAATTCACAAATATTCCACCATTTTACCAAATTTTTTCCCAGAAAATCTGCCTTAAAAACCAAAAGGATTTAAAAACCACTCAGGTGACAACTTGCCACTGTGTATTAGGGATGTTTTAATACATGAAGGACACAGAATTCACACACTACAAAGCACCAAGACAGATGCACATTATTGCTCACTTTCAATCCTGCACTACTGTGTGTTTTTAATTGCTACATTTCACTAGCAGGTAAAATGCCCCTTCAGCTAAGATGAATAATGTATTTTAAAGTTATTAAAATGAAAAAAACGTGATTTTATGTGATTCTTATATGATTTTATATGAAAATATTAAGATTTATTATGCTTATATATTTAGTTTTCTAATAACATGTGTTTAGAGCTGTATGAAACACTTGCTAAACAGTATGGTAAGCAGGGTCAAATCATAGAATCATAGAATCAGCTGGGTTGGAAGGGACCTCCGAGATCATGAAGTCCAACTCTTGATCCACTACCACTACGGTTGCTAGACCATTGTGCTAAGTGCCACATCCAGTCTCTTTTTAAAAACCTCCAGGGATGGAGAATCCACTACTTCCCTGGGCAGCCCATTCCAATATCTGATCACCCTCTCTGTAAAGAAATTCTTTCTAATATCTAACCTAAACCTCCCCTGGCACAACTTGAGACCATGCCCTCTTGTCTTGCTGATAGCTGCCTGGGAAAAGAGAACAACCCCTACCTGGCTACAACCTCCTTTCAAGTAGTTGTAGAGAGTGATGCTAACACAGAAGCCATTTCTAATAAAGGGATTAGTTATTTCAAAATAATACAGCAAATTGCATGTCTCCTCTGCTTACATATGGCTTCTTTCAACTCAGTTTATTAAAGAAGAAGGAGACAAAAATTGCAACTGCCAAAACATACAAAATTCAATTAACTTTTTCAGACCTTGATAAATTTTAGGTACCACAAAGAGTAATTCAAAACACAAGAAGAGGGAGAATAAAAGAAGAGATGATGATAAAATCGGCGAAAATGTGAGCGTTGGTGAGACAAGATTAGAGCAATGGAATGCTCCTCTTCCCAGATAATCTGAGGTCTGTAATGCTTTCTTACAATTACCACTACAATGCAAAACATGAGCGCTAGGAAAACTCTGTATTGTAAGCCAGGGCACTGTGTAAACTTTTTCATAACCCAAATAAAATTCAATCTAAAAAGTGGTGAGATCTTTATCTCTTCCGAAATCTTATTGCTCTAACTACAACAGTTTCTTCAGAATTCCTGTTTAAACATATTCATGGCCAGGTTAAGATGTTTAAACCACCACTGTCAATTAATCTGTACAATTTCCCTGTGGAAAATTTTCCTCTTCATCCTCTAGTGGCTGCAGTTTTGTATTGCTTCAGCCTTGATTTTCCCTATGCTAAACATGCACGCTGTTTTACTTTCTGTGCTACAGTAATTGGCTAATATGATAGTCAGTGGAGTACACATTTTCAGTACACTGAACCAGTTCTGGCTTAAATCATGCTTCTCTAACCTGGAGAGCCACAACAGAGCACATAATTTCAGATGCATGCTATCACTTGACTTTCAGATGATGTCAAAATACAATACACAAGTGCCAGAATCTTTCAAACAGCTCATTCAGTACCTGTCAATATAAGTATGTCCTTGGTTCAGTGCAGCTATATTTTATAAAGTAAAAAAAACATCCAGAGTTTGGAAGAGTAGTGACAAGTTCTACAAGCCTTCAGACTTAAAATACAAAATGAATTAGGACATGGTTTTATTTATTTCTCTATGAGAACTCTTTTCAACAAGTGCTGGCAAAGTAATATGTTTAGAAATACAAGCGACTCTGTAATATTGTCTCCAACAGTAAACAAAACACATTGCCAGATATGGTGCACATTCCCAGACTTTGGAGTTACATCTTCTTTACTGAGTTCAGTGGGAAGTACTTTAGCAAGCAATTCTAGGGCACAGTTCAGGCTCGGCATGAGTGTGGACCAGTCTCATGCACACTTGTGTACATACCACCTGTGTTATGCAGAGAAAAACTTAATAGATTGCATCTGGCTGCTCTGTGCCACCTGGGTTCAGCGCCAACCAACGCTCCCTTAAGCAATCAATTAATTAGTTCAGAGTCAGTCTGTTCCATGACCAGGTAATTATCTGAGAGTTAGAAAATGTTCTGAGTCTTAGCATCAGAGCATCCAGTAAATACTGTTATTAGCATATAGTATCTGTAAGAACATCCTGCAGAGCACCTTTTTTTAATGTCTTACAACTCTCAATCAATCTAAAACTCTGTAATCATTACAGAGAAAAAACAACATTAAGATCTCAGTCCAAAAAATATCTTACTATTCACTGGCTTTTTTTATTTTTTTAGCTTTGATTGCCTATCATAGGTAATCTGGGAGTCATTAGGAGATGAATGAGTGGTGCTAGGTTGAAGTGCACTCTAGGCACCCCCAACACCCACCTTCCTGCCAAGCAAACCCTTGCTCCCAGCTCTGGAAACTGTCTTTTGAGAGATGTCCTGTAGCAGCCATGTGTTAAGTGGAACAACTAAAGGGAGAGAACTCTCTTGGTGGGATAGGTTTTCAAGTTCTCTAAGCTGTGAAGTATTGCATACTAGGTACACTCATATGAGGCTGATGTCACACTCAAAGAAACTCTGAGCTACTACCCTATCAACACACAAACTTGTTGTATTGCAATTTTAGATATAACAGTCAAGTAAGCAAAAAGCAAATCTAAGCATATGAACATTTTAAGACATCATTTATTAGATAACTTAGTGAACAATATGAAATTATACCGTCATTTTAAGCCCTCCTTCCCCCACTGCAATTATCTTCTCTCAAGACCAAAAATTTCCTGTCTTACTAAAACATTCACTCTTGAGAAAATAGAACTATTACAAGCATGTCTTAACTGCCTACAGATCTTTTCAAATCAAAACACTTCATATAAAACAGTACTGCCACTGTTAAAAAAATTAGATTTTCCACTTACTCTTTGTATGTTCCTGTTTCAGAATCTTCAGTCATAACATCATGTAGTCCTTCCACTGAAATGTTGATGATACCACAAAATTTATCTTGGATAACACTGTAAAAGACCAAAATTTATCTTGGATAACACTGTTAAAGACCAAAATTTATCTTGGATAACACTGTAAAAGACCAAAATTTATCTTGGATAACATTGGAAAAGAACAGGAAAATTACTTAGCTAAAGGAACTACACGTGAAATTTGCTCAATAACTGTAGAACACATTTACCAAGAGGTATTTTCTCTGCTTACTGCTTAGCTGAGCATGCTATCACACAATTAATTCAGTATTTTTTTAATTACAAAATGGCTTCAAAATATGTAAGAAACATTCTTAAATATAATAAAACCTGATGTGCCACTGTTGAAAACTTAGAAATAATTGTAAATTAATAAAAGAAAATACACATTAGCATAGGAGTCAAGAACTGAGTGAGAAGGGCATGCCCCTGCTATCAGGAAGATCAGGAGTACTGGCTTCTACTCCCAACACCATTTCTGGCATCACTATTCAATGCATAAACCTACACACAAATCCTTGAGCAGTGGCAGCTTGTAAAAATGGTATATTCCCTTACTTACGTGTGTTTCTTCACCCTACTAGGCAGCTGACTCCCCAGAAAGGGTGTAAAATCCCTGCAGCCAGTTCTGTGCGAATGTCACTTCCCTGACTGTAGAGAAAGGTGTGGTAGGATTTCTCTGCCTGAACATGGGCGCTTCCTGCCATTTGAAATACCAGGCTATTAACACAAATGCAAAGGGTTGGTAGATATTACTCAGGACTTGAGCACCTTTACCCAGTGTGACCTGAAGGCCAGATTAGATACTCCCATAATGCCCAAAATTACACTAAACACGTCTACACTTGCCCCTGCCTTGAGAATTGATTTGTCTGTAGGGCAGGGGCATCAAAACATGATCTTCCCAGGATGGATAAAGCAGGTGCCACCAACTCCTAGTTAATGGAAAGTAGCTAACTTCTGCTTTCACTCAATTTACTGCTACTGTGGATCTAATGTCAGAGATGTGGGATTGGGGGAGCTTGGTGCCTGGATTCCTACTCTGTGACGGAGTTGAGAAACACTGCAAGTGAAAAGATGTTCATCCTGGGAAAACGGAAAAACTTCCACCTACATACAGCAAAAAAAGAGAAAGGGCCTAACTGGTTATGGTAAACTATAACTCTCTTCCTGGGACTGCCATTGACTGAAGCACTTTATTGCTTCCTGTTTGCAATTTCAGCCTTAATTATCCCCAAAAGATGTTGCTGCCGCCACCACCCAATAGGCAGAAGCAGACACATTCCATTTATTTATGAGCACTGAATACTAAGTTCATGTATTGTAGTTTGATTGTAGCTGATCACAGATGAATCTATTTCTTAATATTTTTTCATTTCCTTTTCTTATTTGGGATGAAAACTGAAGACACAGATAAACTGTAGCCCCTTGTACAATAGTTACTGCATTTGAAAAACTTCTTATCAGACATACAACAAAATTTTACATATATGACTGAGTTTATACAGCAATAGATGCTTTGAAAAAAAGTTTATCAAGTTAGAATACTAAGCACAGAAAATATCTCTTTTATATTTATTTTGATAAAATTACGATTCAACTCACGATCATTTTGTTTCCAATGAATTATTTTTGTTCGCTTTTTTTTATTCAGCTACTGCCAAATGCCAGGATCTGAACTGTATTTTGTATAATCAAACTTGAAACTCCTGAATTCCACAAAATGAAAACTGACACAATTTTCATTATTTGTCAGCTATGTATTTTAAAAAGATACTTTCTCCCTTGCCCAAAAGCTTCCCCATCACATTCAGAACAGCAAAGCACTACACGTGAGAATTCTCTGTGAAGTTCTGCAGACAGCAAGCAAACAGCAAACAAACAGCCTACCCACCTCACAGCACTACTGATAAAGTGAACGCTGCCTACTCAGCAGCCTGCATAACAAGCCCTCAGAGACAGAGCAGATTTCCTCACAGAGTAAAAGGTTCCTTCCTACCTACACACCTCCCATTAAAACTCTTCTGCCTCATCCTTTTGTTTGAAACGCATCTCTAGGAAAATGCCATTTATGTGATTAACATTTTCCAACACAAAAAGGGTAACGGCTATCCTCAGATTTATGACAATAGAGGACAAAGGGCATTCAAGTGAGGACAACTGTGAACACTTTGCACCCTGGAAAAGTAAACTATGCCCTGTTCATACACACTATTTAAATTATAATACAGGTTGCTGTACACTACCTGTATTACTTCTTCCTTCCAAGCTTCATGAATCATAGAATGGTTTGGGTTGGAAGGGACCTTAAAGATCATCTAGTTCCAACTCACCTTCCACTAGACCAAGTTGCTCAAAGCCCCATCCAACATGGTCTTGAACAATTCCAGGGATGGGGCATCCACAACTGCTCTGAGCAACCTGTGCCTGTGTCTCCCCACTCTCACAGTAAAGAATTTCTTCCTAACATCTAATCTAAACCGACTCTCAGTTTGAAACCATTCTCCTTTGTTCTGTTAGTACAGTTCCTAATGAAGAGTCCCTCTCTGGTTTCCCTGTAGGCCCCCTTCAGATACTGAAAGGTTGCTATGAGGTGTCCATGCAACCTTCTCCAGGCTGAACAGCCCCAGCTTTCTCAGCCCGTCTTCGTAGGGAAGCTGCTCCAGTTTTCTTACCAACTTCATGGCCCTGCTCTGGACTTGCTCCAACAGTTCCATATCCTTATTATGTTTGCGTGGGGTCTCATGAGATCAGAGTAGAGGGAGAATCACCTCCCTTGACCTGCTGACCACACTGCTTTTGATGCAGGCCACGATTTTGTTGGTTTTCTGTGCTGCAAGCACACACTTCCTGCTCATGTTGAGTTTTTCATCAACCTTTACCCCCAAGTCCTTCTCTGCAGGGCTACTCTCAATCCTTCTTCAACCAACTTGATGAAGAATCCCTAGCTGCCAAGAAAATTTTATACTGGGAGAAGAAAAAAAAGGTTTTTAACTCAATGAAGGCACAGTCTTTTGATCAGCTGCAGGGCTAATTATGGTCAACATATTCAGGGAGGTTACTTTAATTATCCAACATGTAAATAAATACTGTAGGCATAGTGGTCATTAACTCCATGAGTTTTTTCCATGCTTGCAGATTGGCAGAAGGAGCACACAGGGAAGCCCATTTCAGTAAACTGTGTTCCCAAGGATCTATGAAAGTTCCAGAATAAATAGAGTATAGTGGTTGAAGACCCAAAAGACTGTCTTTGATAATTGGCCTTGAAAGGACATAAAGAAATCACTAATTTCTTTACTTGGAAAGTAAAGAAATGGCACACATGAGAAATTATACTTTACTTCTTATTTTAGTAAAGGTTCATGAGAATTTTTCTTTTTTGAGAAAAACAAAGCTAAAGAATGTACAAGACCTTTCAAAATAAGGTAATTTGCCTTATCTTTACTATAAGTAAAGATAACACCTTCTCTTTTCTTCCCTTCCTTCTTTTTTTCCTTTACATGGGGCATGCATTTTCTTTCTACCAAAGACTCACTGAGATGTTTACCTAGTATGAAACCATTAAACAATGGAACTATTTTTAGAATACAAGATACATGCTGGTGAAAAATAAAGATAGCAAAGACTAATGCTTTAAAAAAACAAACCTCAGTTAAAGTTCAGCAGCAATATAAAATGCATCAGGCCTTATTTTCATAGATGACAAAGCAAGCCAAGCAACTCAGTGTAGTACCTTTTCAAAGAGACTAAAATTAGCCTGCTTGTTTCAAGAAACACATTAAAAAGTCATACGAGTAGATACAGAAAAGACAGAGACACTGTTTTTAGATGAAATTTCAAAACAGAGCAGTTAATACTGTCCATACTAAAATCTTATACCTTAAGGATGGAACCGTTTAAGCAGTTTCCCCCTTGAATTGCATATAATTGAGATCATCAATGAAACAAACATCATCATCAAGTTATACCTGGTTTTATATCAACCTAGTCTTCCTAAGTAATTAGGACAAAACCTCATTTGGTATGCAGCAAAAATAAATGGCCCACAATCAGGACTTAAAGCACTCCAGAACCCAGTTTCAGAGATATAATGAATACATTATTTTTTTAATTACAGAAAGGATATTTTATGCTGCCTGTTAATATAATGCACCTTGCCTATAATGAAAATAAAATTTACCATTTAGGGCAGTGTCTACCTGAATAATCTCAAACCTTTTATTTCAAAGTTTGCATAATTTTTTAGATAAAAGAATAAAAGCTTTGCAAAGGAAAAACCAGACCACATCTGTTCTGGAAAAAAGTTTTCATTTTTTCTCATTCTGTTTATAATTTCTAATACACTCAGCTCTGTATTCAACTTTTTTATTATTCTGAGGTTTTATGTAAAAATTCACAATTTTTATTTCAATTACACAGACAAATACTGTAGATAAAGCTTTATCATCAGCTTAAAACATATGTCATGATGGAATTTAGTGGTGTTTAAATAAAATGGACCCCATGTCTCCTATGCATCTCCCTCAGAAAGGAAAAAAAAATTCTGTATGGGAAAACATACTTTTTTAGAGATTAAAAGAAAAACAACATAATTTCTGCTTTTCTATATTCACCAGGGGAAGCAATAAACAGTTTAATTTCATATCTTTACTAGTGTACGGATTTGAGAAAGATTAATTAATTCTTTATTCCTACCTCATTAGCTAAGGAAAGAAGTAGAGAGGGACGAACGGAGATTACTTTGCACATACTGTGAGCAACATAAATTATTAGTACACCACACCCCCCCTTAGGAGCTGCACAGTACTAGGAGCTCCAACAGCAATAAAGTAGCAGCTAAGACAACATTTCCAGGGGAGCCCTATGACTCACGAACATGATCTCCATGAAACACCATTTTGTTTCATGGGTGCAGATTCACCTAATATAGCTCAACTAAGTCTTCTAATGTATTCTCTAATGATTTTAACAGACATATGAACCACATGTGTACATGAAAGGATCTGTTTCCTGGTGTGAACATTTAAATACAAAAGATACTAACTGCAAAAGAAAGGCATTTCCCTCACAATTGCATAATGAATTTCTTAGTTCCTTGTTAGTCTAATCCCTGTGTTGCCAAACTGGATTTTAGAGGATTTCTCCACTAGAAAGGCTGGCTTCCAACTGCTCCAACTCCCTGCTTGCACAAACAGCTGTGACAGCACTGGTTTCCTTTCATACTCCATCGCTACAGATGGTGAGACTCATATCTGGCAAACAACTCCTAAAGCAGCTTGTCAGTGAAAAGGATGCACCTTCAGAGGCAATCTCTGGTGGTTTTCTGCAGAGAGCAGCTGTGGACAACAGAGTCTAAAATAACAGCGCTGCTCCCTGCCAGATTTCCTTGAGAATTAGGTATGATCAGTCTCAATCTTTTCCCACTCCCAAAACTCCTCTGTAACCAAGGCATGGAAGCATTTCTAGCAAGGAAAACCTAACTAGTTTCCACCAAATTTCAAGTCCATTATTTCTGAAGACATCTATATAAAACTGAAAATTTAGAAATACAGGACACAAAACTGCTGAATTTACGACTGTGCAACTGTGAACCTACTACTCACCAGTTGTGCAGCTGTTCCTAAATGAAAACAAATTTAATATTTATCACAAGGAATTATGTAGGAGAGACAGAACGTAACAAAAACGGATTAAAAAGGAAGGGACTGAAGTGGATTAGTCCCTGAAAAAAAACCCAATATAAATTACAGCCAGTGTTTTCCCTGCTTAAAAGCGTTTGTCCATTACACCTAACATCTGATCTACAAGTAGAAAATTATTTTCTCTACTTAAGCAACCCAAAACAGTTTAAACTTTTGTTCAAGTAGTTGAATTGAGTGTTCCTTATAAGTATTTGATCTATTACAGTAAACTTGATTTGATACAGTAAATTACAGTAAAATACAGTATTACAATATATTAACCTGGTATTTCATTACATTCAATTGAGACACATAACAAGCAACAGTGAAGACACATCTGCACATTCACACCCTCTCAGTGCAGTCAAGGTTTATATACTTTCTGTATTTTCACTCCTGGAAAAGAACTGCAGACGGACAAACACAATAACAGGAAGCTGCACAACCCAGCCAAGCACATGAGTTACACCAGCAGGAAGCAGGCGGGATAGAAGAAGAACCCTCAGGGCAGCTCTAGCTCATCTAGAATGCCAGAGTCTCCAGGCTGGAGCCTGGAAGAGTAACATACCTCTACACAGTTTATATCGACACCATGGAGGAGAGACTATCAAAGCATTGTTCCCCACTTTTCCTTGAATGAAGTGATTTAACTGTAAACTGTGTAACTTAAAAGCCACATAGTTGGACTCTCTAAAGCATAGGCCTGTAGAAGACAAACAGTATCTACAAAAGTCCTATTAGTTGAAAATAAAGCTACCGTACAGTAGACATAACCTGATAATATCAGAACATCAATATTTGAAATAGAAAAAAAGTGTTAAAATCAGTGAAAATTAAATAGGAAAATATACGTATTTTTAAGATGAAGCCTTCACTAGGACCATGTATTTTGACCTGACACTTCCAAAAATGTAAATAAATTAGCAATTAATTTAGCATCATGTATTTACAGTGTAGCGTATTTCTTCAATTTGTACCTCTTATCTAGCCAAAAAGTCCCTCAAACTATTACTACATAGATGACAAAGTATCTTTTATTGAAAGTAATTAACCAGTTCTATAACCTTAGACATAATAAACTTGTTCAATTTTTCAATTCAAGAGAAACTTGGGTTCCCTTAACTCCAGTTTGGGGTATTTAGTAAAATAATACAGATACACACTAACAAAAAAGTCACTTTAATATATTTATTACACAGACTGAATACACAATTTTGTATGTTAAAATATGTTATAGGTATTAATAAAATTTGTCTAGTTTTAAATTATTCTCTTCCTCGAGAGTTGGAACATTCCAGTAGTAAATATGCTCACTTTTTTTCCCACTGTGCTTATTAATAGGAGGCAGGGTAAAAACTGCATTACATACATAAAGCACTATTTATTTTCTCATTCCCCAAGACTCTTTAGCTTTGTGATCCTACTAAGAACTGATGTTTTGCTTGCTTCAAGCTTGAAGTTAGCTATGGAATTTCTGTAGGAACATACTAAGTATTGCAAATTAAATTAAATAAAAATGTACTTTATACTGCATGTATACTTCACCTTTAGGTAAAAGATTCCTAAAAACAGGGACAGAGGATTATAAACTTATGTGTCAGATTAAAATGACACATAATAAAATAATAAATTTCAAAACATTCAGGAAGCAAAAAAAAATGCAGAACTCAAATTGTGCCATTTTCCACAATCATATCAAGCAGTTGCTTTTAATCAGTGAAGGTATTTTTAAAAAATTGAGTTCTTGATTTCTTGACCTTTCATATCACAGTAAAGTTAACACCAAATAAACTGAGATAAATTACAATGCTGAATGTTCAAACAGTATTACCTGTGCCTGACTTTCTGATGCTGTTCGTTTGAGTAGCCTAATTTGGTCCAGTTCTGAATGTACCACTGATTTCTGAGTTAGAGACTGCACTGGGTCAGTTATGTTATATCTGCCAGGCTGATAAAAGCCATAATATTCTATTCTCTTTTCCCCTGAATTTTCCAGCACCTTTAGTTTCTGCCTAAACTGAATAATTTTACAAGTTAAGAACAGGATTACAGCACAAGCCAGAATGAAAAAGGCTAATAAAATGTCAAAAGCCTGATTCAGCTTTTCAACCTTTTGTGCACAAATCAGGGATGTTTTTAATGACACAGGAGCAACATCTTTCGGAAATAAATCTTGTTCTTCTACAGTTCTGTTAGTAGATATAATCTGTGTGGGAATTTGCACTGGTAATGTTGATAATACTGTAGTTGCCTGTGATGGAATTTCAACAGCATTTCCTTCATAGGGCAAAGGGGTAGCTAATGTAGCTGTAGTTCCTTCCCAGAAAGCAACATATTTAGTTTCTGCATTGACAAACTGCTCAAGTTTCTGACTCTTTCCTTTTTGCCACGCCATCAGCAACATGGTAGCGCTGTGATGGACACCCACAGATCCCAGACTCCAAGCAGTCTCTGGGCTGGCAGTAGGGCTAATGCAGTTTGAAAACCAAGTCCCCTTAATGTAATGCAAAGGTCTACCACGCATACTCTGCGGATTCTGACAATGAATTCTTACAGAAATGGGAGACAATGCCAGCCAATTAAGTAACCGAAGCATTTTGCAGCTGCAGTTCCAAGGATTAGAATTTACCTGTAGGTGAGTTAGAGATACTAAAGGCTTGAGCACTTCAGGTTGTAACTCTGTAATATTATTAAATGCTAAACTGAGTATTTTAAGTGACTGTCCCATTTTTTCAAAGGTACCATCACCAATACTGGCTATTTTATTTCTGTCTAGCTGCAGATACATTAAATTGTTTAATACAGTAAAAGTGCTGGAATTTATATTTTCTAAATCATTATAACTTAAGATTAACTGGCTAAGGTTGTTTAATCCAAAAAATCCATTTACAGCAATACATTTTAGCCTGACATTTTTCAAAGACAGATATCTAAGCTTATTAAGTCCTTTAAATGCAAAAGACTGTATTGATCCAATAGGATTGTGAGACAATGAAAGTCTTTCAAGATTTTTGAGCTTTCCAATAGCATTCGATGGCACAAGTTTTAAGCTGTTACCTTCAAGAAACAAATACGCAAGGTTTTCAAGATGATGAAATGCTGAATCTGATATCCATGAAATCTTATTATTGGCTAGGTTTAGTGTTTGGAGACTCATCATACCCAAGAAAGTCCCACTTCCAAGGACACTGAGACGATTTCTTTGAAGTGATAAATATCTAACAGAAAAAAGATCACTAAATAATCCTCTGGGAAGAAAAGCTATTTGATTATTCTGAAGGTATAAACAATGAAGATTGGAAAGGCCTTCAAAGATTCCTGGATCCAGGCGTTTAATATTATTGTTATTGAGATGCAAGTGGCACAGTTTGGGGAGCTCCACAAAAGCTTTTGGGTGTACATACAGAATACTGGAGTTATCCATGTGGAGTGCAGCAAGCTTCTGAAACCCTCTTAGTTCATTCGGAGTCACACGTGATATATTATTTCCACTGAGGTACACAAGAATTGTCGTTTTTGGTAAGTTCCAAGGGATGCTCGAAAGCCCTGCATTACAACAGCTAACTTGTCTCCCTGTGCAGAGCTGACAAGCAGATGGACAGCCAAAAGCCTCCTTCTGAAGCAGCAACAAAAAAACCCAGTTAAGTATATACAGGAATGCTCCTGGGCAGGGTGGAGAACTTTGCAGAACACACATATCCCTGTCATTGGCCTTCTTACTCATCTCTGACTTCGCTAGTAGAGATAAAAAAAAGTACATGAATATCATTAATTCAAATATATTAACTGTATAAATATTAATTATTATTAAGTAATTAAATCTATGTGTACAGTCTTTAAAATATTACCAGTCTCAAGACTGGTATTTTACACATTGTCCTTTCATGACAAACAAGGAGTTTAAAACTTAAACTTACTAAGTCTGAAAAAAATTTCACTACACTGAAAAAAATTTCAAAGTAAATGAACAATTAAATAAATGTACTGCCAACCTAGCCAGAAAACATTTAATTGATTGCAGCATAAAAGCATCTAGGCTGCCAAAATAAGAGCTTCTATTAAATTAAAAATACTATTTATTAACTACTTTTTATAATCAGAAATGACTAAGAAATGTTTTAAAAGCATTCAAATAGAAATGCTGACTGTAAACAAGTTTCCTTTCACTAGTAGCTCATTTATAATTTAAATTTTGTCTTTATAAAGCTCAGTTACAGTCAAAACAGATATAAACAATTCCTTACCCCAAATCTGAAATTCATTATTTCCATTATTTTGCCGTTTGCAGTTCATTGTAGTATAAGCTGATTGACTGTACTCATCTGTGAAACCTTTGTAAAGGCGTTATTGCTGCATACTGTATCACTCACATTTTGACCCAGGACTTGCAACAGTTTGCTCAGGAAACTAAGAAAGAAGTGCTTAAAGTCAGGTTGTCATGGATACAGGAAACCATGGGACAGGAAGCCATTTTATCTGTGCTTCAGAAGTATTGTTGGAAAGGAAATCTTAATGATTTTTTTTCTAGAAAACCAAGAACTATCTTAGTATGTAACTGCTGCTTTTTGTTTTGTACTAATTTTTAATTTACTGATTTAACTAGGAGAGCTCAAAAGAGTTTTATCTTAGTCAGGTATAACTTTCAGAATAAAGCATAATTATTTGTTAACAGCACTATTGCATTACCTGTAACTTTTTTATCTTTTAGCCAAAATCTGAATTTTTTTTTTAAATCAACAGCAACACTTACACTGTTCCACTGTTCTCTATCTCTCTACAGAGCCAAATTACATCCATCACGCACATGCACACACATTCCAGTGGCCCAGCCAAGAGGGAGAAGTCGACAGTCTGGAGGGAACAGCCCCAGTGCCCCCCTACTCTGGCAAGGCACAGCCTGCCAGCAATTCCAGGAAACCAGGAAATCTTAGAGATGGGAACCACATGATGTGGTGCTAAAAACTGCTATGTATTTCAGACTTGACCCAAGCACTTTGTTAAATCTCATTTTGGGTCACCATTTTTAAAGCAATTTATCCACAAAGGACTATGGTTCTGAGAGCCACACCTTTGGTCCACAACTTTTGTTTCCTGCAGTGTCCCTTGTGCAGATAAACACCTAGTGCAAACATGGGCCATAAATATCCCCCTTGCCTGAGGACTGGAGATTACATCCTCAGTTTATCCATCACGGCATCAAAATACTTGTGAAATCCAGTCACATCATCAAAGCAGGAAAGCAGAGATTAAGTCCACAAATAGCAATGTAACTAAATCCACGAATTTACTGCAACAAGATCTTCTGTTCAGCAAAACAAAGAGGACAAAGCCCATTAGTAGCCATAGCCTAGGAAGAGGTACAACAGCAGGAGAATAAAGTCAGTTCAGCTACAATGATCTCACACAGGAATCATGAGTAGACCTAAAGGGTGAAATATAACCCAAATGTCTTTGGCTATATAATCCAAGCTGAAATGCATGAAACACATGAGAAAAGGAAACTGAACACACAAGAACATGCTTTTGAAGAAGTTTTCTTCCAAATATCTTATCTAAAATAAGAAACCAGTACGACCAGTAAAATCGGTCCATGGGCCATTTTAGGCAAAGCCTGTATCAGTTACAACACAGAATTAGATCTGCATTTGGCTCTTTTTTCCCTGAGACCAATAAATAAATAGGAAACTAACTGTTCTTTAGATTTAACTATTTACTTTCACACTTTAATTTTTTCACATATTTAACATGATTGTTGATTTAAAGACTCTCCAAGCTGACCCTGCTGAAATCCCAAATCTTCGTTCGCAAAGCCCAGCCATGATGATTTAAAGTAAAATAAAATGGCATGTCATCTGCTTAAAGGGAAAGCACTACATAGTTTTGACTGTTCACAGGAAGACTGGTGAATTATCCTGGATATGGAGGACAGAACACTACGAGTAATTGAAAAAGATTAACCAGACCAAATACAGCCACATGAGGGGAAAGTCACAGATTGACCAAAAATGAAAAGTGACTTCAAAGAGCAAATTATCTTCTACCTAAGACAGGTAGGGAGGCTTCACTACCTATAGTTTATTTATGTTGATATTTATATTTTAGAATAAAAATATTTCTTCCAAGATGTGCTATGTGAAACAACCCCTTAAGGCTCAGGGAAGTAAGCCAAATTTTAAAAAAAAAGTTTTACAAGGCAAAACTTAATAGATCTCACTTTTTGCAAAATGTCAGAAGCAACATATGTTGAAAACTAAGGGAACTGATGAAGCTCTACAGGGTATCAGATAGCATAAAAATTTAGAGAAACTAGTAGAGTAGTGGCCAGATAAATTACACCATTTTGGGCAAAACCATAAAAAAGACTGGGATACATAGGTAATTTGGATCAATGTTTCTCAAACTGCCTTGTACTTAAACAGTAAAATTCATTACTAATTGAAAACTAAAGAAATAAAGTAGGAAGCCCCAAGCATTTATTTCCAACAAATTCAGGCAGCTCTCATAGTGATATATTTTATTCATTGCAAATTTTGTTCTCTAGTGAGAGACATACTAAGTTTGTACCTGAATACAGCTTTATGTGATAGAAAATTATTTTTGAATCCTCAAGTGAATTTTAACTTAACATGCTAACATTGATAAAGTTACTAATGTCATTGCTTTTTAACATTAAAACCTAGTTCAACAAGGACCCCTTGTCACTACAAGCACGAAGTCTGAGTAACAGCAATTTGTCAAACTGTGCATAAAACAACAGGTCGAAGTAATTGAAAGAAAATACAAGCACTGTACCCAGTTCAGTCTTTCCAAATGTTAGATTAAAGTTAATGTAATTTATGTTAGCATATAAGCTACCATAAAACAGTCATGTGAATCCCTTTTATGTATAGCAGAAAACATGCAACAAGTTCAAAAACAGAGTCTAAAGTCAACTTCTGAAGAGTGCTTTCATTCTCATAAGCACTAGAAAATTATGTTAAAGTTCACAAACAAGGACAATCAATTTTTAGCACTGTAATTACTCCTTTAAGCTTTTAACAGTGAAACTATCTGTTGCTCTCCCACTGTGTAATTTAGCAAGTACCTCCTTGTAGGTCTTCCTTCCTTCTACCTTTATTCTCCACAGGTGTGCTATTATAAAATTTCTTGTTTTGTTTTCAAATACCTACTTCCTTCTGCCCACATTGTCTCCAGATATGACCAAAAATCAAAGTAATTCAGGTCCTAACCTACTGCTTGGGTAGCATACACATCAACATTTAACTAACAGCCAGTAACTAGGCTGTTACTAACTTCTCAGATCCCAAAATTCTTTTTTTTCTATTTATCATCTAGTTCATCTAAACAATTCTGATTGTCTCAAATATTGCAGATTCCCTCTAGTACATTATATTTATTTAAGTAAAAATCTTGATTTGCTGCTTTAGTTACTGAAAATTTCTCTGTTCCACAGAGTGAAAAATACAGAATTATTTTTCCCACTGAGGAAAAGGAAACAAGTTTCCATTCCATAATTCTTATTTGACTTTAGACTCTAGTAAAATAATATGACAGAAAGGTTTTGTGAAACTAAGAGCTGACTTTGAGAAAGTGTTCGAATGAATTTCTTCATTCAGAAAATAAAGTCTTCTATGGAGCAACCAGTAGGTAAATGAACAAAACAGTAATATAAAAACATTGGCCATCAATGAAATCCACAGATGTGATATGCCGGCAATAACTACAGTTATCACTTTAGCCTTTGCTATTCACTGCAATATTTTGTAAACTCTGTTCAAACTATCAAAGCAATAAGAAATGTACTCAATATGAATTTAATTCAAACCAAAAGGCTTGAAGAACACAAAGCACTTTCCCAAATTTCAAGTAGAATAAATAATTCACTTTCTAGAAATTGATTCAAAACTAAATCCAATTGCAAAGCAATACTCAGCCTGCTAGTTTAGGAGACAGGATGGGCATACACTTGGCATTAGCAGCTGGTAGCTTCCAAATATTTAACAAAAAGAGAAAATTTCAACAGTTCCTAAGAACTACTACAGATAATACTCACACACAAAATACAAAAGCTTTGCTTTAAAAATACAAACATTCTTTACACTTAGGCACTTTTTGTAATATCAAAACCTGATGTTCTGTTTTAAACTTTTACTTTCTCACTAAATTGTATGAACATTAAACATTATTTTTCAAGACACTACTTATGTGCAGAAGCTCTTGTAGTGACATGAGTTGTGGTATTCATCACTTTTGGTATCTTACCATAATAGTCTGGTTCTGCTAAAAGAAGTCACAAAAATCTCAGCTACTCTACGGCAGTCTCAAATTTCACAGAGTATAGGGCAGAAAGATAAGCAGATGTACCAAAACAGCTCAAAACAAGTTCAGCTGCAAAACCAGCTGCAAATCTCTTTTTTTTAAACTTTGTTAAAATCCTGTGATTTTTATACATTTTTAATAACATGCTATACTTCAGTCACTACTTATTCAATAACCAATTTGCAAACATGTAAAGCTCACATTACAAAGAGTTTGAAGAAAGCTAGTCAGTCTGTTATCAACTACTACTGTCTTTTATATAATGAAAATGGTCAATTTTAAGGTAAGCTGTATTTAGAAGAGTTTTAGGAAAGATTTCTGAAATTCTTTATACAGGTCACAAACAAAACAAGATAGCAGCAGCAACCGAACCCTTATGACTTCAGTTTGTTCTCTGCAGCAGTTCAGCTCAATTAGTGACATAATTCCTTGCCGTCACTTGGTATATTTTTCCTTGAAATCAAGGTTTATGGGTCTTAGGGGAAAAGATAATATGTACGGGACCAGTCCATACTACCAATCAGGTGCAGGAGGAAAATTACAGATATTGAGAACAAGAAAAGTTTAATGAGTGCATCCTTTTGCCAATGCTGTAACGGGACATGCAATTAAGGAAGTGGCAGTACTCCATGTAACCTTCGGAATTATGCAGTCTCTGATAGTTAAACTACGACCAAAGTCACATTTTTCACACTTATCATTAAAACTGCACTGTTACCTGTCAGGCAAGCTAAACAAATCCAAGGCCAAACACTGATGACAACTGCAAAATCATAATTTAAAGAGCTCCTTTAAATGCTAATAGTCTATTAAAGGTGTGGGTGAGCACACCTTTGACTAGAGGGATTAAAAAAATGGAGGGGAAAACAGGGAAATGGCTCCTGAGTATCATTTCTATAAAGAAAGGAGGATGTACAAGTAGTTACGTAAGGAATTCTGACTTTATAAATGAGGGCATAACTACCCTGAGGAGAACAAGACATTTTATTAGGCACTTTCTTGTCATTTCCTAACATTACATATAGACGACTTCTTGAGAGGAAAATTAAAATTTCTAAGTAATTTTAACAAATGACAGAAGCAAAACTTCTATAATAACCTAATGAAGATTTATAATTACATACTGTAAGTACTTATACTCACAAAATGCCAATTATCTAATTGACAGAACTCATTCTGGCTGACATTTCAGACTTGACGTACAGTGAGAAAAAGCAGACATTCATTTACACAATGATTAGAAATGAGCAGAGAAACCTGGAAAACCTCTTAACCCTTTCCTCACAATAGATAAGCATATTTGACTTAGGGGGGCAAAATTAAAACTGCCACTACTCATGTACTACAAATCAAAATGAAGAAAGAAGAGAAATTAAAATACTTCATATTTCAAGTTCAGCAAAGTCTCCTCTACTGTAGAGTGGCTCCACTAGAGGTTCCACTCTACAGTGGTAAGACCACCAAAAATGAGCCTGTCCTCAAGGACCAAAATTAGTGGACTGTTTTGGAAAGCACTTACTTGGAGTAAAAGCAAACTTGGCAGCCTCCCATTCAAGAATGACAGACATAGCACAAATAACATTCACTTGCAAAAGGAGAGTGCTTAGCTTTCAAGATAGTGTCAAATGCTACCTGTGTTATGGTTAGGTACCACGCCAAACTCTGCTAATCACTGACATTATAATCTTCCCATATTCTGTTTTCCACTTCCATACTAGAGAATAAATATTCCTATCACTCTTAAGCATCTTTCAGTATGGTTCATGTTCTACTAAAATACACAGAGAACAATTATAGGAATAAAAAAGAAAACTACTTTGCTAAATAAATCATTAAAAGCTTTCAATAGCACAAGGAATGACATTCCAAAACACTGTAATGTTGACATTATACAAAGTGACAGAAATGCAGCAAGCAAACCGATTACTTCCATATGTATCTATCTGTACGAGAAAGGGACACGGTACAATTTTAGCCAGTTTGGTCTCAGGAAATTCAAAGAATGTTGAAGATGTGTATGTCAAAATGTAGAACCCTACATAGTGGTGGGGGTCCACACCTTTTCCACTAAATAAGAAGTACACTACTACTCCTGATTATGTTCAGTGGGCACTACTTTAGGAATCACAGGAATATCTAATAAAACTCAACTACATCTTGAAGAGTACTCTTGAAGCTGTAGGTTCACAAACAAGCCATTCAGACTGTAGACAAGCTGGAATAGGACTGAACTAGACAGGAAATCACAACATTTGTTATTTTACTCACCCGGGTTGCTGTCATCTCTCACGTCTCACACTGTAGCTCAGATACAACTGTCCTCCATAAAACTGAACTTGAGAGACACTGCAACTCCACAAGTGCATCCTAAGTCCTTACTGCCTAAATCTTGTTACTGGACCCTACTGCTATATACAGCAGGTTAAAGACAAAGGTCTTAAACTTATTTTATGAAGAGCTTTTAATAAATGAATTAAAATGCATGTGGACAGATATGAGTGACAGGAAGCAAGAAGACAAAGCACAGAAAATAATGCTGATGCATGTATCTATAAGACACAAAAATTGCTAACATTGATTGAGTAGACTTGGATAGCAAATGCAGATAATTATATAGTGTTTAAATTTATGCAAAATCCCTAAGTAATACCAGGAAATTACTGCTATGTGAAAAGGTGCTGCAAGAACTAATCAGGAAAGCAGCATTGTTCTTTTTTTAATATGAACTTCTAAACACTAACATGATGTGCAGCTGTAGGAAGATAAACAGGATGCTAGATGGAAGGACTATATACACACCAGACTAAAATGAAACACTGTTGATAACAAAAACATGTATCTCTGTATCACCGGATTATATCACCTAGACAAGAAAGTTACAGTATGGCTAATAAATTGTCACCTGCTTAGTCCAACTAAATGGCCCAAGAACCACTGTGAACAACTGCTGTGCAGTGAATCCCGTCTTATCTGCTCTAAAATCCTCCACTCACGATACTGTCAAAGGTGCTGTGTTTGAAACAGGAAATTATTTGGCATACTGGTTTTAAGTGAATAAAGACGAAAGTTTTATCTTCCCCTAAAATGCAGAAAGTTCGAGGTCCACATATGTATAATTATAAACATGATCACTAATTAGAGAAGTGCCTAAAAGCAATGAAGTAATACTATAGAGTTTAGAGGGAGAATAAAAAAGGTCGCTGTTTAATACTTTCCACAACATTTTATCCATAAAACAACTCAGATGGAAGGATGACAATACGTGCTATCTTCATTTTTCCCCAGTACTTTTGTCTACTCCCTCCCATTCCTCTCTAAAATAAACTGATGCTTCGCCTGTAAGTTAGAGGAAGCAACTGGCAAAAGGAAAAAAATCCTCAAACAGTGCTAGACACAGCACAGATGCCTGTTTCCCTTACAGTAGAATCTTGAAAATCTGAGCTTACTACTGGTACCAACCCTGACCATCATACAGCAGCAAGATGAAGCAAGAATCTCACCCTCACCTTGGCCTTCCGAGACAGCCTATCAGCCATTCTCAGAAGGCAAAGTTCTGTTCTGTCTCTGCAGTTAAGAAATCTTGAAATTACTTTGGCTATCCAAAGCAATATCTAATCAGGAATCTGGTTACTGAGGCATTCCAAAAGGAAAAAATTGCTTTAGTTTTTTTGAAAACATTGTTTATATTAAACAAAACATTTTGTTTAAACACTATATTATATTTAGAACGTTTTTGCTTTAACTCTGCAAATGGACTTACAGAAGAAGCTTGCTTTTCAAAACTTGCTTTTAACAGAAGTTTCAGATGTAGGATGCAGCAAGCATGTGTAATATAATCTCTGTGATGTGGCAAAACCAGAGTGACTCACACTATTCTAGTAAAAGAAACAATCACTTGACAGAATCAGTTTCACACATTGTCTGAAGGTATGTTTAGCAGTCTATCAACTGCATAAGTGAAATTTTCATAGTTTTGACATAAACATGTCCACTAAAGAGAGGCTTTTTATTTGAGAAGCAGCTTACTTAAATGATTTGAGTATCTGAAAAATAAAGCTGTCATGTGCAAAAAGTTTTATTATGTTAAGGACTGTCAGAAACAATTGGCTTTTACAGCAGGAAATCTGGAGCACTTGAAAGTAGTTCAAAATAACATGGTTATCTAAAGAAATTCCTTTTTTCCTTCCTCCCTTTAAAAGAAACTTCACAGGAAGACAGACGTAGTTCAGCATCTTAAATTTTAGCTAAAACCTCTTTAAAGACATTTCCAATATACTCATAAGCAACATAACATTGTCACATTTAATGGGAAAAAAGCCCCTTTCTTATAAAGCAGCTGCTTGATTCAGCTTCAGCTACATGGTTATCCTGCTGATCTAGGACAAAAAAGGGAAGCGTCTGTACATATTAAAAACAATGAAGTTTTTAAGTTTTACACATTAAGAGTTCCCTGATTTTTTTTAGGTAGAGACTACATATTATACAGCTTTATAGATATTAACATAGCTTTAGGATTTGTGAGCAACATCTAAATTCCCAATGGACAATACTTGAGACTTTTCAGGAAATCCAGCAGACTAAACGTAAACTCATGCAGTCTTGTCTTCCTGAGTGTCAAACAGATAAGAGTAATCTGAAGGTAACTGTGGACTGAACTCTCACCTAAACATGTTATACATGAATTCTAGTAGTGACAAGTTAGGAATCAGTGTAACACTATTCAGCATTTTCATTTAAAACTTTCATTTTGTATGTATATTCAGCAATGACGATGGGTACTGAAAGGACAATCGTAAAAGCTTCTTGCTATAGAAATCTATAGCGCAAAAACTATTTCACAGTCTTTCACAGCAACTCTTCCATTAAATGTTAAAAAGGGGAAAACCAGGATGAAAGCTCAGGTCACCTACAACAGGAAAGAAAACTGACTATTGTTCTCTGTAAGGGACACCCAAATACTAACATGCCAACTAAATCAACTACTTAACCATAGAGGAGAGAAGTAGATAGTTTAATGTTAATATGAGAATGGACAATAAAATCTGCAGTGCTGGTTTCTCCCTTTTACTAAAGCACACTTTCTATGAAATAGAAGAAAGGTTACTATAATGCTATGAAGTCAAATAAAAGGGTAACATAATGTAGCATGGAAATTCTTTTTAAGTTTCTCTTGGGAAAAAAAGAGTAAATAAAACTCCTTATATTGGAATATATAGCTGTAGAATTTTGAAATAGTTTAAAAACTATCTCAAGGGCCTTTGAAGCATTCTTATTTAACACACTATATATTTGCTTACCCATTCAATGACGGCAGAAGAGAAAGCAATGCCAAAGCAGAAAGTTTTCTTCTTTCTGGTTGAGTGATGTTATCCATCCGATCAACCCACATTTCAATCATGTTACCAAGAATATGGTCCAACTGCAATGGGAAACCGAACATTTGTTTTTATTTATGGAGTGTGTCAGCCTATTCAGAAAATATTTCCTTGTAATTTTTCTACCAACTGAATACATTGTTCAGTCTTGGAATAAAGTTATGTATACATAATACACCACACAGCTATATATAGCTTACAGAAATAGCAAACAACAGTTATTTTTTAAATTTTCTATGACAGTGCTTCCAGGCCCTGAACCCCCATACATTAATTGTAACCTACGAGTTAGAAATGCACTTAATTCACGGACAGGGCACTGATTCAGAGTAGTAAATTACTCAAACAGTTTTCCCCTAACAGTTTAATACATACAAAGCATGTGAACTTACTCTGTTTTACCTACAGTGGCGATAAAATTTAAAAAAAAAAAAAATACTTGCTTTTACCTTTTGAAAACCGTATTACACTCAAGGATAAGAAAATTACTAAAATTCCACTTAAAGACACAGAACACTCATAGCAAAAGAACCTCAGTAATCTCATCAGTGAAACTGTAGCACATTGAACCTGACAACCCAAAAACTCAGGGGAGAATGATTAAACCATTATCCACGGTGCAAGACCCATCAAGACAGCACAAGGAGAAACTCTTGCCCTCCAAGAGCATGCACACTAAAGGGGTTTACATGGAAAAGTGTGGGATGCTTTAAGGTAATTGTGGGAATATGTAAAAATTGTTTCAGGATGTTCAGGGAAAGGACCAAAGAAGGGGCAAGGGCCCCTTTTCAAGGTAAAGTGTGGAGGAACAACCACGGAAGACAGAAGGAAAAGCTCCTTTCAATCAAAAGAAAGCAAGGCTTCCCAATACAATACAGCTCAAATACCAAGACACAAAAACCCCAAAAGGACAATAAACCTCACCTCCTGACCCAATTCACATGCCATCTGGCTCAGAAGTAATGAAAAAAACCTTGCATTTTGTAGTAGAACTCTACCCATGATCCCCAGATAAGTAGACATCACCACTGGGTATCTCTGTAACAAAAATAAACCAAAATAAAGGGTGCTTACTTTAACTAAAAGAAAAATATTTGACACAAAGCAGCAATACATGGAATATATTTGCATGCATCCCTTATATCTTTTATTAAATTTTAAATTATAAATTGTAATTTAAGAGCCCCTCAGAAGACTCGGTAAACAATCTTTACCAGGATTTCTCAATTCCAAACAGCTGAGTCAGCTTGCAAAGTGATTTTACTTTAAATTTAAAAACCTGTATCTTAAGGAACAAACAGTATATTATACTGCTAAAAAATTACTTTTGAAGTTGATTAGGGTTCAAAATTACTGCTTACAATTTCAGTAACATTAGGAAATGCTTAGTATTTCTGAAGTTGTTACTTATTTCAGAGAGAAGCTATAATACATTTGCCTATAATTTGCAGGTGTTTCAAAATTAACTGGATAAATTAATAAGTTCATTAATTATCTTTTGTTATTACTTTTAAAAGAAGCTACAGAGTTTTGTACTAAATTCAGCCTGTAACAATATAACTGTATTGTTACATAACTGTAACAATATAACAGCTAACCCAGATTAATATATTTTCAATAGGGTACAATGAATTTATTACTCTTAAATCAGAAGACATTTTAATAATCCACTCTCTATCTTTGTGCTTGGTACAGCAAAAAGTACACTGCTACATAGTATTACTTGGCTTAAATCTGGAAATCTTATTTAACTCAATAATAATGGGAGCCAAATACTGATATTTGAAAGTCTTCAATTCTGGAAAAAAGCAAAGGTTTTGACTAAAAAAGTCAAAAAGCATGAAGAATTCCACCCACTGATTCTGCTGATTAAAATACTTCAATTTTTCTCCTGCTACTACTGCAAATTCAACACAGTTAAAGCATATTGGATTTTTCTCTTTTTCATCCAACATGGCAGTTTGTTGAAGACAAAGAGAGAAAATGGAGAAATAAAGACACCTAAGCCAATGAAATCTTAAAAAAATCTTCTGTCTTACACATTCTTCAGCTCTTCATATTAGATATGTCAATTAGAAAAAGAAGGTCAACTCAATCTTCTCCTTGTCCAGTTTGTTTTTCTCTGGTTCAGGCACATTTAAGAAGGAGTAGTGTGTGTCTTTAAAAAAAGACCCCAACAAAAACTCCAACATCTTCAAGGGATTAAACTAGGTATAGGTTACAGCAGCTTTTAAGTGTTAATAGTGAAGGAACAGTCGAACCACAGAATAAAATTTGTTCTATTTTATTAAAATAAACACTACATGACAAAACAAGTGATGGATATGTTGGTTTATATCTTGTGCTACTACGTTACTTTTACAGACTTTTAATATAGTTGTCAAAAATCTATCATATGCTCTTAAAACAAGAGAAAATACAACATCAATATGAAAAAACTGACCCAGATAACGGCCTTTCATGTTCAAAAAGGAAAAGTAGAGAGTAGTTAAAGTAATTCTTACCTCCCCATCTATAATCCCCCTGAATACTGATGGCAGAAGGGGTTGAAACATTTGGGGACCCAATACAGGGTTTACTTTTAGGACATTTTCTACAACCTTAAGGAAAAAAGCAAATTAGACAATTAGTAAAGTACATTCATAAATCTTAACTGAAGCTTTAGTGCCACGTATACTGGTGTACCTATATAAAGTGCTTGCAGGATGTTTTTCAATAAATACCAGCTAACTCCAGGACTGCTGAAGGTATATTCTAGTAAAGTACTCTGCAAACCTGAATCTGCATAAATGGACCTGATGAAAATTGAGATGCCAATGAAATCCACCCTTCTAAGTATCTTGTGAGCCTCCCCACGGCCCTGGCAAAGCTGATGAGGTGGTTGGAAGGAAGGACCTTGTTAAGGTTCCAGGAAAAGCAGCAGATCGAAGGCTCATTTCCATACATTTGTCTCATCGCTTTTTTCAAGAACCACTGATAAGGACCTACCATCTCTTTGCAGATGTGCTCTCAGAGGTGCTATTCTGGGTACCCCGGGTACTCTAACTTCCACCTCCACCGCCCACTGAGCTGTTCCCTAAAGTAATTTTTAATCTTGTGTTCTTCAGTTTTAATTTTGCCCAGATGTTTGGGTTCTCCCCTTGTAGTAAGATGAAGAAGGGAAGAGGTTGTGAAAATAAGGGGCTGATAGCTGCTCACATCCACTTCTAATAAAGACAGAGACCACACACATATATACACACACTTTATGTGTATAAAGCATATAAAGGTACAGTAAAGGTACCTCCCTCAAACACTCTTAGTCTCCACTTACTTCCATCTCAGAGGAACTTCCACAAGTGCTCTTGTCCAATCCCCCCTAAATATTGTTTCTGCTTTTTGAACTTTGTTCCTACTAGCTTCATTTAATACCCTCTATTTCTTGCCTTGAGAGAGATATTAAGCATCTGACCTTTTACAGTGGCTCTCAATTTTGCAGACCTTTAATATACTAAAGTATAAAAGAGGTATATTATATACAGAGGCAAACGTAACTTTTCCATCACTCATCTTTCTGGGTACTGGAAGTTTTGGCTAAGTCATGTTCCTTGCACAATCTTTTCAAACTTTATACTGTCCATCTCAGATAATTAAAAAAACCAAGTCACATCAAGCCTCCGTAATCTTGCAATAAATTGTCTTATCAGTCCAAATTAGTATTTTTCAACCTTATTGATTTATATTTCTAAAGTCTCTTTTCAATCCAGCCAAAGCTGCTTGTAGGAAACTATTTCAGAGAATAGCCCTGGGTGCTTCTGTTCCCAATATTTATCTTAGAGGTTTTTTACGTAACAAGTCAGCATAGTGAAGCCTGATAAAATGTTCTACTTTTTGTAAAAATATTTGCAAGGAGTATAGCTCAGTTATCCCTCTGGAATCAACACGGCATAGTAGGAAGATGTTCCAAGTATACTACACAAACTTTGCAGATAATGCAATGCCATTCTGGGACTCAAGTGAATAAATGATTCCATCATTCCATTTTAGAGATCTGACTAAAAGCTCCTGCATAAAACATTTGCCCACCTATAGACTCTAAATATTACTGATAGACTGAACGTGACATTTTAAATTTCAGAACTAAAGTCCTTAAGCTCCTCATAGCAGAAAATACAAACAGGGAGGTCTATCAACTTCTGTTATTTTCTGTCCTAGGACCCTGCAAGCTGTTGTATGACCCACGAAAGAGGCAGATGGGATCCAATTTATTCCCTCCATTGCATTTACAGTTATCTGAATTTAAGTCCAAGTTTTTATAAGCAACACAGAGCCCCCTGTCATGCACCCACTGGAAACAGAAGTAGTAATACATTACTGCTACTAATCTTTCAGTGAAACTATCTTTCACTCCATATTCCAAATTTACTTCCTGAAATTCTTCAAAAGACACATTCAAAGTATCATTCTTAATATTTGTAAAGTTTATAAATTCCGCATTTCTTTCATGATACCATTTGAAGTTTGTGTGAATATAAGGGATTTTTTAGTACTTTGAAAAAACTCTAGCAACTCAATTCTGACCATTACAATTGCCACTCATGTCAAAGGCAAAGACTGTTTGAACACTATGTCATGGTACATATGCAAGTATGCTATACAAAGGAATTTCACTGAGATCACATACATACAACATTCAATATAGACAGGAAAGCTTGCTCTAAGACCTATTACACATGCACAGACTTTAAATAAGTAGTTTAAAACACCAGTGACTCCAGTATCAAAGTTTGCTAAATATGTTGTTTTCTCCTACATATTCTACATTCATCCTACTTGAAAACATTACATGTACAGAGCTGAGTATCGGGGTATTATTTTTATTATACTGCACCTTTAAAACTTGAACTTGACCTTCAGTAGTTATGTCCTTCAGAAGTTCACAAAATGACCGGCATAAGTCAGTAGCATACATCTGAAATAAAATGAAAAAGAAGGTATTATGCAAACACGTTTTATGAAGACTCAGCTTCTCTTCAAAGATCCCATCTGCTAAAATGCTCATCATTCCTGAACTAATTAAAATCTAATCTAAGTATTTTGTTGGGTTTTTAACATTGCAGGATTTTTTAAATCTCAAAGAATTTTCTAACGAAGAAAGTATGAGAACAAGGCATAATATTTCTAGTTCAACTCTTGTTAGAATTCATTACCATAATTTTAATCTAGTAGGATAATTAGAGTAACTGTTACTACCTCACTTTTCAGATACCAAAGCACTAAATCAATCCATAAAGCACTAATTCTAAATAATCTTCTTTCTCAAATCTGATTTGAGTGTCCACCATGCACCATAAAGACCTAACAATAGAACAGTAGTATGTTTGTATATACATGAGTAAGAGTATAAACGTGTGTATGATATTTTCCAAGATGAGAGAAAAAACAGTTTGTCAGTAGGGAACTGAGAAGACAATATGAATTTTTACATAATGATAACATACCTGTAAAAATTCAGATGATGATAAGAAAATATAAGCATTGATGATCTTAAAGCAATTTTTGAGGTTTTCGGAACTCAGCTCTGGAAAAAATAGAAATCACAATTCACAACCTGATCACCAAACTGAAGTACAACCAAAATGATTGGCTTCTAAAAGTCTCTTTCTTCTCACAGCTTACAGTGCCAGACTTCAACAAGCAGAAAAAAGTTATCTTAGATCCAGTACCAATAAGGTTCTCTCTCCCCACCAGAGACAATATAGAAGTGGGATGACAACAGCTCTCATGTACTCAAATGGAAGCAAAAGAAATCCTGTGACCTCAAAAGCCACTATTAATAAAAACAAATTATAAAGAAAAGGTCAAGTTTTGGATGTGATAGTGGGTTAAGAAGACATTAAAGAGAGCACAAATGAAACACATATTTAAGAGACCTACAATTACTGGTAAATAATCTCTCTCACATTTGAGTCAGTAAATGCTGAGCAGAAGCAATGAAACAAAGATTGCAGTTCTGCTCTTCTGAGCCAGATGCCATGTCAAACGGCACTGAGCTGAAACCTACTGACCTTTAGGGCACATCTTGAGTGTAAGGCACACCTTTCAGTAAGGAAATCATACCCATTTAAGAGACAGATACACAGAAGAGAAGATACAGAGCAGCAGTTTGAAGAGAGAAAAAAGACATGTCTTCAGGCACTATCTTTATGACTGTTTTCAAAAAAAAAAAAATCACACCAGAACATCTATGTGCAGAACTCATGGCAAAACAAAAGGTTTCAAAGTTTCACATGGACGTTGATACCAGTGCAGAAAGTCCATGGCCATCATCATCTAAAAACAAGACAAAAGACCAAAAACACCTCAAAGGGCTTGCTAAATTGTCTTAAAACCATCTGTAAAGTTCTAGGGAGTTTCAGCAGTTTTTCTTTTTTTTCCATCCATTAAATAGAATATTAATGTTCCTCTATTTGTCATGGCCATGGGACAGCTTTGCATTTGTGACTAATTTCATATGTCAGTGCATGGATAGGGTATGTCTTGTTATCACTTATTTTGAATATTTACCTATCTTGACTTGAAAAGGTTTAATTTTTCATCTATCCATCCACTATCCTCATCAAAATATTCCAACATATCTATGAATTAGCTCTAGTATCAAATTATTAGCATTATACATGGCAGACCTCCTTAGAGGTCTGCTGTTTGTGGTTTTTTTTCTTACTAGACATTTAAAGTTTCAGACACTGATCCAAATATTCAAATTCTAAGTAAATGGACACATAAACATGAAGTGCTATTAAGTTTTCCATAACTTTCCATTCTGCGATTCTTTGATAACTGATATAAAGGTAGAAAGTATGTGTAGCAAAAATCATATTTCAGATCAGAGGGCAAAACCAGGTAAGACTCACGTAATGGAAATGACAGAATTTCAGCCATTCATCTGTGCATAAAGCTCAATGTTTAGTAAAAGCATTTTTCTAGAAAATATCATGTTCAACTGTCTATATTTAAAAGCTAATTGCGCATCAATTCTCTTGCCAAGTTTTCCTGAATTAAACACATATTTTTCTTAATTAATGTGCTCCTTTGGGTTTTGTTAGGGATCAGAGGACTTCGTCAAGGTCCAGTAATCCGCTTTTTGCCACTACCTTTACAAATACAGCACAGGCACATTAAACCTGATGCTTCTTGAAACAGGTATGTCTAGACTTTGACCATATTTTCAACCTGAAATTGTATCAGATTCATTTTAAGCATCCTCAGTGTAGAAATGCATCCAATCCTCAGAGAACTAATGTATTTTTCCATTCCACATCATGCAATTCATTGCAAGACATGGACTAAAGAGCCTCTGCAACTCCTCTTTAGAGCAATTATATTTCAATAGAATTTAAACAGTAGCAGTACTGCTGATATGAAAACCAAATATGACAATTATGCTGTGAACTATCCTTGTATATCAGTGATAGCATCATAATCTTTGAAGGTTAAGTGAAATCAAGCCTTCATGGAAATGCAACGTTCTACTCCTGAAGGCAAATCTAACTGACTTGTATAATTCCTCTGACGTTCAGTTCCAACAGCAGTAGTATCCTGAAATGGGTGTGAAAAGTTCTTTTCAGAAGGACAATTGTATCTTGAATGGAACAACTACCTATTATTTTCAGACTAGTTAAAAAAGTAAAATTAAAAACAGTTCTATATTTTTCCTCTTTCAGTTCAAAAATCTCATGTAGGAACTACTTCTCTCCCTGACTTCCAGATTTTTCTAGTTCAACCATGTTGACATCTGACACCTTTTCTAAATTACTTACATGCTGATGTAGCAGGCAAACATACCAGAAAAACAGTTACATTACCTGTATGTTAGAGTAACTCCATTCAGTAAAAATAATTTCAGAAACTAAAGGTCAGGAGGTTCATATTCCTTACACTGTAATTTCAAGAAAATGATTTTCTGGAGCACTTTGCTAGTTCTCCACCCTGCCCTAGACATAAGCAAGGCAGTTATCTGTTCAGAAATTCCCTTCACCTTACCTGTCCTTCGGCTCTCACTTGGGTAACTGCAGACTGAATTGAGAACCAGTTTATCTTTTTTGCCTTATCTCAGACAGTTAAGGCACACAAGACTTGGTAATTTTGACTTCCCAGTTGAAACACTTTGTCCTGACAGCCACATCATCGTGCTAAGAAGGACAGGAAGAGCCAGACCCTAAGTGCTGGAAGTTTCAGGTGAACTGTGCTACTTGTATGCTGGAGAAACTCTGCTACAGAACTAAGACTGAACACTTATTTAAATTACTAGCACAGTTGACCATCATTGATCAGTACATTTTCTTTTGCAAGATGCTGCACTTTTAACTGTGCTGTTGCACTTGATATAAGTGAAGAACCTCGTTTTCAAGTGTAATGAATGAATAAAGTAGCTGCTTGCGGGGTAGTGGACAGCAGTACTGTACTGTTTTTGTAACTACCGTGTTTTAAAGCAAGGTTAGTACTAATCCAAAACTCCAGCTCTATTTAAAGCATCACAATACTATGGCTGTGTTCTGTCAAGGCTGTCCAGTCAGATTCTCCTGATGTAAACATATAGAATATGCAGGCTAAGAGAAATTGGAAACCAGAATGGTTTCCAATTTCTTGCAAAATGTGCATCATTTTGGCTAACAGCAATCAAAATTTTTGACAAACACAACACTCAGAAAACAAGTTTCTCAGAAAAATGCTCAGGTACTAAATTAGTACTAGAAGTCTATATGATGAAATCCATAAACATCCTTCTATAATTACACATCAGCTGGTGTATTTTTGCCACTCATCCTCATCCCTGAAGAAAAAAGAATGTCTGACATAAGAACGTTTGAAGCATCACCCTAATGAAATCCTACCTAGCTTAACTACTACTTGCTCTACTAGCATCATACAACAGCTTTCAGTTTTCAAAACAAGTAACATTTTCTTGAGGATGTATTTTTTTCAAAAGAAAGCATCACTTTTCTCCAGGATTCATTCATGAAATAAGAAAATAATTACAAGCATAGAATATTCCCAAATGCCTCCCCCTTTTGTGAGAAGAGTATGCCAAGGTTTCCATTCCTACTTATCTCTGCCCTGGAAAGTATCGCCGCTACAGATTCTAACAGGTAGCTCTGGAGTTAAATACTAAAACCACTACTAAACAGAGCAGTTTTATCATTAGAGATCTTGTATACAAAGAGAAATAACAGAAGACATCATCTTACACCTACCTATCACAGTCTATTAACCTTTAGTTAGAATAAAGTATAAGCTGAAAACAACTATCAAAAAGATAACTTTTGTAATTCTGTGAACACATTGCTCTGAAGAAATTAATTCATTTGCTATATTAGCTACACAACCTATAAAAGCACAGCTAAAGATTAATTAAACACAAACCTATTAACACAATAAAATTAAAGAACAAAATTTTTATACTCCCTTTAATTATGAAGCAAAAGCACCTGAAATATCAGTATTTCCTAAGCACAGAGTCTTAATTCTCATTACTAAGTTTACAGTTTGTTAACAAGTCAGGCAAAATTACTGTTTTTAATTTCAGTACTGCTTGACCAAAATGCTTACAGACATATTAAGAGTTTGAAAACATCCCACATTGTTATTAACTGAATTATGGAAAGCTAGTAATTGCATTCTGGTTGTAGGTAGAACAGGCAAGTGTTCAATATAGTTAATATCAATAAAACTCAGCACATTCGGTGTTAAATTTCACGAACTTCTTAGAATAATCTCTGAAATTATAAACTAAAATTATAAACCGAAATTTGTCTTATCTTTTGGGTACAAGTACCTTTAATTTACTAAAAATAGAGAAACAGAGTAAAGAGACAATAAGTACCAAAGATGACAAAGTCGGATAATAAAACCTGTTTCTCAATTTTTGATAATTACAATTTTGCAAGTTCCCTTAGTACTTGCAGCCACATCAGCATTACTTAATACACAAACAAGCAATAGCAAAAAAACCCCTGAAAATTCTATTAGTAAAAGACTTACCAAGGAGGGAAGACATGTTCTGAAATATTCTCAGGAGCTCCGGTGTAAGACATGGACTATTCTCCAGTGTCACTAACCTACGAATAGATTAAGCAAAATATTTTAGATTATTTATGAAAAACATTGAGCAATCATTTTGACAGATGTACACACACTAACTTCCAGTAACCATCTATACAATCAACAACATGTAACAATTACTGGAAGCATACTTCAAGCACAGCAATAGTGCTTACAACACAACCATCAGTATAGGCATGGTTCTTGCCAAGATAGGAAAACAAAGAAAAACATGTTACTGTCTTTTTACAATGACAATATAAGGTCTGAAATGCAGCAGCGAGAATGTCTCAGTATCCAGCCTGGGAACTCAGAGAAGGTGGGTAGAGAGGAATATCTACAGCGCAAGGACAACATGTGTAGTGCTCTACACATCAAAGAAGAAGCTGTGGTGGTTGTTTAAAACTCCTGAGGTTTGAAAATGGTAGCAACAAATTAAACTTGCATTTAAAGCCACAGAAACAAATTCTATTTTGTTCCTAGATCTTAGGCGTGGGATTACTGTATTTAAATAACATGTGTGATTAGGTAAAATATCTTAGCTGTTCTCCTTCTCTTTATTCAAGAAGCCATTAGAGTCCCAGCTGTCTCTGCCAGCACCACCCAAATTCCTCTGATGCTCTAGGACATCTTAAAATATCATTCTTCTGCACGGACATCAGAATAGTAACCTCAAGATCAGTATTAATAAGAAGATATAAAAGTTCTGAACTCATACACTAAAAACCCCTCTGTCCTAAATTTTGAGAAGCTCTTGCACTTTGACTTGTTGCCACCAGCACTAAAAATCTCAGTTTTGCTGCACATAGAACAGATCACCTGTAGCTTAAGTATTTATAATTCAAATGTTCATCAACAATTTAGATCAAAGGAATCCCTTACTATTTTAAGATAAACTATGTATTCCTATTCTTCAGGAGAAATAGGTGCTGAATTCAGTCCGGGTAAGAGTTTCCTCCTCCTATAGCGTCAGCTGCACCAGAAACAAATAAATCAGGCTCACAGTAAACTGATCAGAACATCACTTCTTGTTTTATGTTCAGTCACTAAACAGCCTGAGATCTAAAAGGTAACTTCCACACTTTATCCTTGTAAACTTGACATCTCTTCCTGCAACCACCTTTGAGAACCACTGGGTCACTGTTCTCCTGAAGTCAAGCATATCAAATTGTTAGTTTAGCATGCACATTGCAGTGAGTCTAGACTTTTTGTTTTCCTGTTCATTATCATTACAGAACTGTATCTTCACTATCAAATGTCTGAAAATTAATTACGTACTCAGCTATTTAACTGTGTTTCTTTTATTAACTTCCTACTCTCATGTCTTCTGAGAAAAAGTATAACATAAATGAAGTCAAGGTAAGGTAACAAGAGCATATAAATTTTAATATTCAAAGTTTTTTACAATTTTTTCTTCTGTGGATACAAAAATAATTGGTTTAAAATTACAAACTGATAGAAAAAATTCTTACCACAGCTCTAAACCATCTTCCAGAAGATAGACGTGTGGAGGCTGAGAAACATCTGTACTTAGCTGAATAACTGGAAGTAGAAAAGGATAGAGATTTTTGCTGTCTGCTCCCAGTCCCTATGAAAATAAATAAGAAATGTAAAATATGTCAAAAACCTCAAACCAAGCATAAAGAATAGCACTGGAAAAGATCTGCAATGCTGTTATGTTCACAAGTAAACGTGCATTCAAGAAATCAAAGGTTGAACTTGCATTCATTTCATACAACAAACAACAAAATACTCTGATACTCGTAAGCTTTCTCTCAACATGTTTTGAGAAAATTATATGCTGTTTGAAAACAATTCTCTTATCAATAATTTGCATACTGTTTGACTCTAAGAGAAACAATACACATTCCTAAAACATTCACTGGTCATTCTCTTTCTTGGAAGAGTCACAAGTCTAACAAATACTACATGACTAAATGCTGAATGTTTTACAGATCAAGACAAGAACTACTCTTTGCCCTTACCGCACATGAAATCATTTGACATATTCTAAGAATCAAGAGAAGGGTTTGTTTTCTCAGCTACACAAAGATTCACAGATCAATGACAGTAATTTATTTTTTAAATGATCCATGAGTCATATGTAAAGATTTCTTCCCAAGAATGCAGAGTAAAGAATTTCTTAGCAATCACTTATAAAGAAAACCCAATTTTAAAAAATAAGCTAAATAGAACTACTGTCAAACTAATAATAAATTAGAACTGATCCTAAAAGGAACAGAATTCTTAAACTGGGAACTGCCAATTATTGAACAGCATAACAATACATTGTAATATTACTACTTAAGAAGAACTGAGGCTAGTGGAATGTTGAATTTGCATAATTCCTATATTTTGAAAATGGTTAATTCAAAATTATTTGATGTTTCTAAGTTAAGGTTTCTTTCTCCATTTACTTATTTAAACAAATTTACCTTAACAGAACCTTCCATAAATTTGCCTAATACAAAGAGAAATACCTTTTTTATACAAAAATACCTATATTTTTAGGCTCCACAGAGGCCAAACCTAAGAATTTTCACAATTTGTTTATGGTAAAAATATATTTCCTCTTTTTTAAACTTACTCCGCTTTTAAAGAAACCCTTATTTCTCCTTTCACTGTAACATTTAGTCATTCCCTTTCCACTTTCTCGCCACTGTTAACCTGTATGATACCATCCTCTTAATCATGCATTTCCCCAAGTTCAAGACTGCCTGCATATTAATTCCATTCCTGTACAGACACTGTCCTACATCCTCAGAGCACTTCTCTTGATCTTTGCTAGTCCTACTATAACTTTCTTGAGATGCAGGAAGGGTTGGAGAAGACAGGATGGCATACAGTCTGTGTTAAAGAACTAGTTAACAGCATGGATTTTGCAGTAACCATGTATTGTTTTATTATTAAGAAAGAACTGTAGGAGACACTGACAACATTGACATGACTGATTCCTTACCTGGATGAGATGGATTAGGGTGGTTAGAATGGCACATCGTAGCATGTTGTGCTCCTCACTCTGCTTCCAAAGGAGTGGTAAATACTGAACCAAACATCCTACATATGGTCGTATCTGAAGTTCAGAACACAAATTGGTTTCTTAATGTGTAAATGAGTCTATTAATCTATCCTCATAAATAGTTTCTCAAAAAATATAACAGCTGCTTTTGTCAGAGTAAAAATACCGAGTTTGCTCTAATTTACTCCTCTTTCCTCTTTCTACAACACCATATTTTTTACTCTGTGACTGAACTAACTTCTGACTGCAGAGTAGTTCAAAAAGAACAAATTTCTTACAGTGATATTTGTGCACAGTAACCAGGTTTAAGTAGTAAATGGAACACAAAAAATACTTACAATTTGATAAGCAGTGATATTTTCAAAGTAATATATTCTTCTCTGAGACAGATTCCTAAACAAAATTCCTTAGAATTTTCTAAGAACAGGAACAGTCCCAAAAAAAAAGCTGAATAACCTCTGAAGTCATCTGTCCTTTGAGCAGGGGTTAGACTTCATAACTTCCAGAGATCTGTCCTAACGTACATTTTTTCTGTTATTTTCTATTATTTCTATTTTTTTCTACTATGCTCTTCAATACTAAAGAGTTAATCTATTTGTCTTCTAAAGTATTTAATTATAAATTAACCTAAACAGATTCAAGGGTTCTTTCTCAACTTCTTTTTAATGCTGCATCTCTAGCTGATCTGAAATGCAGAGAAATCTGGGAAACCTACTGTCATGTTGACTTCCTCTACAAGGGACAATTACGAAAGCTTCATTTGGCTCTCAGATAGGACTATTTGTAGAAAGAGGAGATAAGCTCAAAAACACACATTATCTCTCTCCTTAATATTGGTGAATCAACTATTGATTCTTTAATTCTGCAAAACCATCTTCGATTTCTTTACGTATAAACTGAAGAACATACTTTAACATTAACATAATTTGAATTTGAAACTTTTCAGGAAGTTAAGGAGAGTGGTGTACAGGCAACTGTGACCCATTATCAGCACCAATGAGAAACTACAAATTTAACTGCACCATGCCTAGGAGTGCAAAGCATTTTGTTCCCCAAATGTCTCCTTTAACACATAAGATTAAATAAAATATTAGTTCAGATCTATGATGAGACAACTGGAATAAATCACAAATACAGATCTATGATGAGACAATTAAGACTAAATCACAAATAAAAAACAAAAATTGCAAGAAAGACCATAAGACAAGCTGTTAAAACCCTTCTGTACTAAAAAAGATGAGTCAGTACAAAAAATACATAGTAACTAAAGAAAAGTAGTAACTGAGCAGAACATTTTACCCAAAAGGTAAATGAGAATTGAAAAGAGAAAAGAGGAATGCAGACAATGCAGGCAGCTATGACAACAATAACAAGTCTATTAACTTTTTTTTTCCATTTTCTTTCACACCAAGTCTTCCCCTGTGTTCTTACGACAAAGCTAACACTGAAGTATATAAAAAGAAATACCTGCATATTGACTCTTTCAATCACGCAAGACAGAACATGAAGAACATGCATTTTTGTGTCACATTGTGTTACTTCCTGTAGTAGCTGAAAGAGCAGTGTAAACATGGATTCCAGATACTAAAAGAAAAATAAAGAACTACAGATTAGACCATCAAAAATACAATTAGTGACATGAATTGATAATTTTCCAATGTATGCTTACAACTCTAAGACATCCATAAACTTTGAAAAACACTTTGAATATGTGCAAAATGTTACTCTTTCATTTTGAAAAATGCACATTAGGCAATCATTGCCTAAGCAAGGTAAAAAAATTCAGATATACTCTTACATAACAGTTCAAACATGATCAGTTTGACTATACACCATTTTCACACTTTGGTAAGTGTAAACATGACTTCACAGGTAAAATAGGCTGTCTCTCCAGGAGCACTTTGTTAGTGTCAAAGCAAAGCTTTGGGTCAGTAGATAAATTGAAATATTGAGTTGAAAAAGACATCTTAAAACAATTCCAATATTTACAGTCTAAATGCACTCTGCATTTTTGTTTTATTTGTTCTCAAGAGAGTCAAAATCTACATGGAAATCATAATCAAATGAGAAACACCTTCTAAATTTGAGTGATCAAAGTAAATCTTTGCTGTATTTATAATTATTTATTTCATGACAACAGTAATGACCAAATATAGGAGAATGAGAAAGTCTGTGCTTTTTGGGCACTATTTTAAGCAAACATTTGTAATTAGTATTTTTATGAAATAGCAGGTTGGAAAGTAGTGTGAAACAGGCACACAGGAAAGCCACATTCGTGTGGAGACACAGTATTAATACTGTCTTAGCAAAAAGAAACTTACTGTCCGTTAACACATAGTATATACAGTATTAAACACACTGCTATGAAGTTGCGATTGCTGTAATATTAAAATGTTCTGAATTGTATGTCATTGTATAGCACATTAGCAACCTTAACAGCAGTAGTATAAGTTAAAATTTTGGTCTATGAAGACTGAAAAAATAATACATACATATACACCCCACACACACACACTCCCAGTTACTAAATAATGTAGTTTAAAATGAAATTGGGATATATTTTTTCCTGCTTTTCTCTATGGATTTATCTACTCTCCAGAATATATAAATGCTCTTACCGGTAAGAACTGGTCAGTTCTGAACTCAAAGTCATCTACAGGTGAACAATCATTAAGGAAAAATAATACAGATTGCAGATGGATACAAAACTCAAATAAGCAAGTATTTCATGGATACACAAAAATTATAATGTGACGAATTTGGTAATAAGTTTAAAATTGCTTATTTTCTAGTAACTCTGAATTAAGAAATAATCAAACATCTTTGCAAATAAAAGGATATTTAACTTCAGTGTTGTCGCTGTCTCAATACGGACCTGAAAGGCAAAAGTCAAAAGCACAATGCATATGTCCATTAAACATTTTGATTATCAACCTAATACCTGATAATATCAAATCCGTTGATGTTTTGGCATTTGAATAATTCTCTGTGTTCTGTCATCCTCTAAGAAATGCAGTTAGTTAAATTCATTTTCTTTTGCTTTCATTTTAGTATACTTTACATTGTATTTGGCATTGCTAAAGTGGTAGAAATTGGAGAAACCACTCAGGCAAAACGTTCATTAAGGACAAGTAAGATATGTTCTTGTTTAATTCTATCCGGCCTGTAATAAAAACTCTAGTAACAGAGGCGGAGTTTAACTTGGAATTATCTCATGGTTTGTTGTAAATAAAGAAGCACAGAATCAAATAAACTCAACAAGTTAGATTGTTCTTCCTGGTAGATCTTAAAATGCATTAACTAAAAACAGTTGACACAGAAACACATCCTGCTCTGCTAAAGCTATCTGGAATCACAGAAATAACTGTTATGACTGCCAATTACCAACTGATATGTATCTACTAAACTAGCTAAGATTATTTGGGGGTTTTTTTTGTGAGCTGCTAGCTCTGTTTGTTTAAAAATAAAAAAATAAACAATAGCAAAACAAGCTTCTCAACTCAATCTCCCCTGCCAGTAAACTGAAGTTGTAGCTTAAACCAAAAGATTTGTACTCAAGCAGGATAGCAACCAATTGCATTTATCATACCTTGCTAGCAGATAACTTTAATGCTTAAATATCCATAGAATCACAGAATCACAGAATCATTACGTATGAAAAAGACCTCCAAGATCATCTAGTCCAATCGTCAAACTAGCACCACTATCATTAAACCATGTCCCTAACTGCCATATCCACACATCACTTGAACATTTCCAGGCATGGTGACTCCACCTGTTCCAATGCCTGACAACCCTTTCTGTGAAGAAATTCCCGAACCTCCCCTGCTGCAGCTTGAGGCATATTTTCTCTTCTCCTGACACTACTAGTTGCCTGGGAGAAGAGGTCAACCCCCACCTGGTTACAACCTCCTTTCACATAGTTGTAAAGAACTATCTGATAAAGTCTCCCCTGAGCCTCATTTTTTCCCAGACAAACAACCCCAGCTCCCTCAGCCACTTCTCAGATGACTTACTCTCTACATCCTTCACCAGCTTCCTTGCCCTTCTCTGGACATGCTTCAGCACTTCAATGTCTTTGTTGTAGTAAGGGGCCCAGAACTCGACACAGGACTCAAGGTGCAGCCTCACCAGTGCCCAGTACAGAGAGACAGTCATTGCCCTGGTCCTGCTGGCCACAGTATTTTTGATCCAAGCCAAGAGGCCACTGGCCTTCTTGGCCACTAGGCTCACTGCTCGCTCACATTCAGCTGTTGTTGACTGGTATCCCCAGGTCCTTTTCCACTGGGCAGCTTTCCAGCCACTCCTCCCCCAGCCTGTAGCGCTGCTTGGGGTTATTGTGACCCAAATGCAGAACTCAGCACTTGGTCTCCTTGAACCTCATACCACTGGCCTCAGTCCATTGATCTAGCCTGTCCAGATCCTCTGCAGAGCCTTCCTACCCTCCAGGTGGCCAACAGGCCTGCCCACCTTGGTGTCATCTGTGAACTTGCTGAGGGTGCACTCAATCAGTACTGTATACTGCAAGGACTAGTCATAGAATAACCCTGGTTTATCTACACAAAGTCTCCATTTGTTTATAAATTATAAAAGGACATTTCACAACTTTCTTTTTAAAGAGACTGCTGCTCTTGCAGTTCATTTTCCCACCAAAGTCATCACTTAATGAACATCTTCAGTACTTGTTTAATGTTTTTGACATTACTGTTCAACATCTCCACAATTAAACATCACCAAATCTTCCCAATGGTTTAGCTTTTGAAAGACACAACAGACTTTAACATGATATTATGAAATTTTCAATCAAGTTTACACAAGGTATGGTATTTATGTTTTACAAAACAAATGTTTAATCCAAAACAGTTATTTATACTTACCACTAAGTCACGGTCTTGAAGTAAGTTACGAATTGCTTCATATAAAACAGGTCTCAAGTCTGATTTGAATTTTACAGAAATCCACTGTCCAATCAGCCATATTACTCGTCGGCGTATTGGTTTATACCTTTAAAAGTAGGAGAAAAAAAATCACATTTGTTACCTCATTACATTTGATGTTACAGAATACTTTGATGAAAAAGAAATCCAAAGATTATGATGAAAATGTTATTATCCAAAACAATTAAGAGATTCAGTTTGTCAAGACCTGTTAGTACAGAAATCTTTTTCAGCAAAATTCTTCAGAAGGAGGCACAGGAGACACCAGCTTAGCCTGAAAAGGTTAATTTTCATCCTAAATGACTGAATCTTGAATGTCTCACTAGAGACACAGTTTATTCTGCACATAGTACACCAGTCAAAAAAAAAAAAAGAAAAAAAAAGTTACATTTATTACTGCCATCATGGCATCTACTGCTTTGACCATAGCTTCCAGCAATTTCTTTGGTATTCTTTCTGTGCTCAAAAATTATAGGTCAATGCAATTTAAAAATGCAAACTTAAGGACTGCATTACAGCAACTGTCAAAGTAGTTCGTGTCACCAGACTAAAACTATTCTAAGAACTGACATTACCTAATCTTGCACTACTGTCACAACAAGGGCGCAAATCAAACAGCTTTAGAGTCAATGGTGAGAACAAATCAGAACAACAGTGATTGAGAAAAGCATTTTACAGAGCTGCTATTTTTCTCTGGTGATCACGTAACTCAGATTTATACGTTTAACTTGCAGATGTATAAAGTTAAGGAAGATGAACCCTATTCAGAGGATTTTAACTAACAAATTATTGTTATCATAAATGTATTTTTCATTTGATGACCTTCTACCTTGTAAGCCATCAAGAAGCAGTTTAAACTGGGAGTTACTGAAGCTTCTCTACATTTAATAAATGTGTTTTATTAAAAATTCCCATAACCACGAGATTATAAACAAAGACCGTCTTCAGAGAAACTGAAAGTTATGGAAGCAGAATGTACATAGCAGTTCATTAGACAGGAACACAGAACTAATGAGGAGTAACAGTCCAGTGCTGCTTGATATTTACTGAGTGGCAATGAATAATGCATGCTGAAGCATAACTTACACAAGACACTGCCTTACTAACACCTTCTATTTGTTCAAGAATCTGATGATACAATTTTTGCTACTTTTAGAATGGCACTTTTTACACTTAACCTTGTAAAAATCAGAAGATTAAAAAAACCCTAAGTAATTTTCTTGAGATTCGAGTTGGATGGTTTTGAAAACACAATCATATAAAAAAAATTTTTTAATGATGTAAGTACGTAACTGTCTGCTGCCAGCAAGGATTTTCAGCTCTGGTGTTATCTATTGTTAAGTTCATACACCCTACTTGCATCTCTATATTCTTTCTCTCTCTCTCCCTAGTAAAGACAGTATGCTTTTTATTTTTTGGGGGGGTGGGTGGGTTTTGGTTTTATTTGGTTTGGGATTTTTGGTTTGGTTTACTTTTTTGTGGATTCTTTTGGAGTTTGGGTTTTTGTAATTACTGAAGTTCCTAAAAATTCTTCTGCTCATACATGCTCAATTTTTCTACGTACACCACTTCTGGGAAAAGCTCACCTCTTAGAACATTAGTTTTTAGAAGAAGAGCACATACGCTGGCTAAGCATAGGTCCGCTACTGAGCCTGGTGGACCTAAAGCTCACATGAGAAAAGTGATCATATTCCAAAATGAGGCAGCTTCTGTTGCAATAGCCATAGAACAGTATCTTTAAGGAGTCTGGACAGCATCAGATATTCAAGTCAAAAGTATTTTGCTTGATACTAAATTACTAAGTGTCACATCGATACTTTCTCTCTCAGTAGGAGATTTTGTTTTACAAGTGAATTGTTGCAAAAAAAATTGTATGCAGCAAACTACTTTCATACTATGGAAAAGTTTCTCTTCAATCAGTACAAAACTAAGTATCGTGGCAAGTGACAAATTTGGCAATGCAATGTTTCTAAAAATCCTTAAGAATACTTTTATATTCATCCCATATTTCTTCTACTGATATGGTCATGGTTGGCAGGTTTACTATCAACAGATAATGGAAAATTCAATGAAAACAAAACACCACACACTCCATGCTCAATGCTGACAACACAAAAATTTTTGTTCCCAAACATCAACCAATTTGTGAGCAACCATGCTAAACCCTGAGGGAGATTAGATCATACCCTCCAACTCACTTTATCTGAACTGCACATGTATTCCTGAAGCGGTTATTAAAGTAGAACTCCATTCAAACCACTAACACTGTCTCCCTTATTGTCATGGTGGTCTCCAACGTTGAAAGCAATAGAAGCAGTTCAAGTAAACAAGGCTTCAAACTTCTGGACAATTTCTACTGCAAGCTTCTGTCTCCACAGGAATTTCATCCTGGGATACAACAAATGCCAACCAAATGGGTGTCTTCCTGACTGCAATACAATTGTATCAACAACAGAACACTTTGGTCAGTTTTACTTATGCTATATGAGTGAATAACATAAAAATGCCAAAGCCAGCATGTATTGCAAATAGCATGGTAGTTTTATTTGGAGATTGCTAATGGTGGGGCATAGCAGCAAATGATCAATCTTATACAAAAGATCTCTCATTTTTTCCTGCTCTTCTGACATTTAGCCAAAACATTAGAGTACTTGACCAATTGGAGACAGCCAGGTGAGGTTAAAATCTTAGTTAAAAAAATAGTCTAATGAGAAAAAGAATAAAAACATTAGGAGACAGAAGGTACACAACTGTGGCAATTATTCTGTGACACAGGCATAAGTAAGCAGTTAATTTTTTTTAAAGTATATTGTTATGAAAAGCATTTTAATATCTGTAAATTTAACAAGATCTTCCATTTTACATGAAACTGAACTCTATCTGTAAATAAAGTTTTTATAACTGGCATTTGGAAATAAAAAAGTTGACTAACAACTCACTGTAGAAATCATTTACAATTTATAGTAGCTCCTAAGTGTATAAGAAAACAAATTAGTTGATGTTTCAGATAAAAATTACGTCTGGTAAGATGAATCGTAAATGTAGAAGAAAACATAGCAACAGTCTTCAAAGGACGTTAGGGTCACTGTTAATGACTCTGTTAAGACAAACAGGGCATACTTATTCAAAGGGCGAATCAGCACTGAACAGTAGTGGTCACTGTCCTCTCCCCTGGAGAAAGAGTGACAGTTTGAGGAACAGGAGGAACTCTGTCTTCTAGACAGTTTTAAAGAGGGCCAGCTCAGCCTGTACTGAGATGCTAACACTGATCTTTCAAAATACCCTGTGACATCCACTAAACTAAAAAAGTACTCATGTGAAGGCCATCCAAGTGAAGGGGACCCTGGTTAGAAAGAAAAACCACAGCAGATGGACTGTATAAAAATCTTCATGTAGAACCAGCCTGTAATTATTCATACTTCACAACATAACCCAAATCCTTACTTCCCCTCTTTATTGTTGGCAAAATTAACTGAAGCGAGTTACAGAAGGCTTGTATTTAAAATAACAGAAGAAAAAAATCACTATTTTGGCTAAACTATAGTTTTACAGAGATTATTTCCACAGATTTCAGTTGGACTTTGTTGACTGAAGAACTCTCCAGAGGCCTAAATATCTTTCTTTAAATGAGCAAGTGGTTGTCCTGAGAAGGTTTAGTCAAGTCAAATATATGCAAGAGGACAGACTTAATGTACTTTTCCAGAGCCTGGAAGTATCCACCATATAGTAATTTAAACATAAAGTGTTAAGAACTATGTCACTTCAATTACTGTAACAGTTATCTGTATGTATTTTCACACCTCTGCTCATTTAGTGGATATGTTTAAAGGTTGAATATTTTTCAACTCTGCAATTATTAGACATTATATATTATCAGATTTGTATCAAAAGTTCGTATTTAAATGATTAAGGCATAAAAACCCAAGATGTTTACCTGTCATGAGAAACTTGTAGTTCTGCTAATAGTTGATTTTTAAACCACTGATCAAAATCGACACTATCAAATAGTTCATAAGCAGCGAGTCCAACCGCATTATACACTGGGGAAAAACAATAGTTATGCTTATTGTTTGCTTAAATGTTCATTTTTTAATACTAATAATTTGAGAATCAAACTGCATTTTTGATAACCCGAGCATAATAAAAAACCCCAAACTAAAGCATATTTTTCTTTAGAAAGCTTTATCAGACCACAGTGAAGGGAACTCTGGAGGAAATTTCAGTACAAGAAAGACATTACAGAAGAAAGTTCAGAGTTTTGAAAATAGTCAGAAGCTGAAAGAACAATGAGGATCTTATTCTAACACCAAGGATGTTAGATTCCATCAGAAACAATTTTGTTCTTTTGCCATAAAATCTCCTTACTTGTAAAATGAACAGAGTATCTCCATGGAGGCACTGAAGGTTATTTAGTTGCAGAGTAGAAAGGACAGGACAGTAAAGAGATTGTCTAAGTGTTTTTTCCACAAAAAAGCCAAAGAGCACCATATCTTTGCATAAGCATTTTGAAAAGTGTAGACTGACATCAGCTGAAAGGAGAATCAGGATTTATGTCCCACTTTCCAAATGTTTTTAAAAAATCTTTAAATTCTTCATGCAATTTTTAAGAACTCAAACATATACACAAAAGTGGCTCTGTTACTTCAAAGGTAAAGAAAAATTTACCAGCATCTTTGATCAGTATAGCATTGGTATCTTCTATGTTGGTAGATCCTACAAGCCAAAGTTAAAATAAAGAAAAAAGTCACTAAAACAAGGAAGGCAAGCAACTTTGCACTTATATGCTCTATGTAAGTAAGCCATGAATTAAGACTGTTTTGCTGCTTTTCTTTCATTTACAATTTCAGTCATTTCAGTTTTGATGTTTGCTTTAGTTAATATACTAGAATCAAATCTCTGCTTTGACACCCTATTTTTGACTTACTACTTTGGAGATTAACCTTTCTAGTACCAACATACATTTAAGTCAGAAGCATGTATTTAAAACAAACAGATTCAACACCTGCAAATTGCAGATGACTGTCAACTACATAGTAATATTTCCAACAGGGTCCTAGATGCAGTTCCATGTACTTTATATATATCTGTGTGTGTGTGTATTTATATATATATGTCAATATATATATATATATGTGTGTATATATGTGTATATATGTGTGCATGTAAATGTACAGCATGTAAGTTAAGATTTTCCAAAATTTTAAGAATTAATGAATACTTATCATCTAGTACTTCAACGGCTAATCTCAAGTTGAAAACATGCAGAAGTGGTTTATAGGGGCCTCAGAAGAGAAAAAAAAAGAGGTGTACCTTTTAGCATGGTAGTATTAATACTATTGATATGCCTGTAATTTTTGGAAAACACATTAACTGTCAACTCTGTTGTAAGGAACTTTTTACTATTCCCAGTATCACAGCACAGCAAGCCATCTCAAAACCTATGTATACAAAGTATTTTATGAAGAGATTTTGTGAAGTCAGAAACCATCCTCGGAAAATGGCTATTTATTTAAATAGAATGTAATGATCCATCCTGGTCAGATTAAATATAAAATATTGTAAGTCAGCTAAGATACAACCTGGGGAAATAACCTAAGCTGAAATTACAGGGGAAAAAAAAAAGCTATTCCCACTTATTATCTTTCCTAGCCATTATAAAACTTAATTTGGGGGCAAACAGTAAAACAGAAAGAAAATGTGAAACGTTCCTCAGCTATGAATACTTCAGTCTTCATACAGAAAACAAATACCTAAAGCAGATTATTCAGATTTGGAAAGTCCTCTAGACTCTCCAAAATAACAGCATAAACTTTTTCTTTAAAAGTTTCTTTTTCCCCCAGGATTTTGGCAGAGACACGGCATGAACTGCCTTGCAACATCTGAACAGGAAGTTCCTGACAAAAAACAACCTACACAATTCATTAAGCTCATGGACCACTCTCAAGAAAGCCTGGAACCTCACGAAAGCAGAAACGTCCCAATCTTTGTCAGTCATCTAAAACAGTTATGATGAAAAGTAAAAAGTCCTTAGGATTTCCTCCTCCTAGACACACACTGCATTTTCCTTATTGTAGGTTTAGAAATAATTCTAAAATATTAACATGTCCTTTCAAAAATACAGATTGAACGCACTATATAAAATTAGATATTACAAGGTAAAATTGTTTAACTGTTCACAAAAGTAAATGTAAAGAATTCTACATTTTACAGTTCCTTTATTTTTTAAAGAACTTACCTTGTAGACTGTGAACCATTTCTAAAAGCACTGGGGTAAGGATCTGATTATATTCATGGAAAATATCAATAAAAAGAACTTCTGTGCATGGCTGAAAAATTAAAACATGTGGTTTAGAATCTATTAAAGGCAACGCAAAAACATTTTATGCTAAAATTTCAAGTACTGAATATCTCGCACTAAAGGTCATAATTTAAAACATGATATACTGTAACAAAATTAGCATTATACAAAACACCATTCTTCCTACTATACATTATGTTTAACTCTATGAAACAGAGTTAAAGTCAATTCTGTAGCAGAAGAACAACGAATCTGTGGAGTGAAACAGCTGGTGTTGAGTAGCCAGTGATCATATTGTCGGTATGTCACTCTAGCTGAGTGATATGGACTAAATACCCATTTACAGCTGGAACACACTATATGCACAAGGTTGGGGGTTTCAGTTTTAAAATTAAAGTAATCCAGCAAATAAACTTTGAGATCACTCTGCAAAGCAAATCACAGCATTGATAACTGGGAGATTCATTATAACAACATACTTCTGATCTGAACTAAATTAACTAATAACTAATTAATAATAACTAATAACTAATTAAATATACTTAAATATATTTAAATATATATATCGTCTGAAACTGTCTTCATTCATCATGTGTATTAATAAAGTCATAAGTGACTGATAACTGATAACATCAGTTCAAAGAAGAGACAATGTCTACTGGCTTTAATCACCATCAGATACTACATAATACAAATGCTGAAGCCAACTCCTTTTCTCTCCCTCCTAAAATATCAAGTGCATAGTTCCCAGTGTGTTTCAGCATGTTTGAACAGTGATAAAGGAGTAAAGTTAATTTTTACTAATTCTAAAGAAATTTCCTTAAGATTCTTTTTAAAAACCACCATCTTTTGAGCAGGTATCACCTCTCTTGGTTACAAGACTATCAAGAAATGCATTCAGGAATGTTTAATGGTTTTCTTTCAAATTGAAACACTTACTCTGAGACTGTACTTCCAAGAATCTCCTCCTGTCTCTTCTACAGCTATTATTTCACAAAGAAAGAAAAAGGTATTATTTCAACTATGGTTCAAATAAAGTTTGGTGTTTGTATATGAGGGTATCATAGAGTACTGATAAATCTGTTGTTATGAAAGAAATCTCTAGAGGGAATGTTTGCCCATATAAGAAGACTGCAGGAATAAAATGCTCAATATTTGCAGTAGGCAACTTGTAGAGACAATGCTGATATGAAACATTTATACCAATATCTAATAAAACTGCAACCAACAATACACCATATGTCTTACTGAAGCTTTCTGGATCCTCTTCCCACATAGTCAATTCTTCCTTTGTCAGCAAGAAATAGTGAGTGACTAATCTCCTACATATTTCCATTAGTGTTGGGTATGTGAAAAAAGCTGTCTTTATCTTATGCGCTTCAAGAGTTTCAGGACTGCTGTCTGAAATAAAACAGAAAACTCCAAATTACAATTAAGTGGTTTAATGATCAAACACTAGTCTAGTAAAACTAGAAAGAAATCAGTAAATAAAACATTTTTATCCTCTGAGAAAAAAAATTATTTTCATGACAGACTTTAACACACTTTCAGGTGGTACTTTTTTAGAATCAAGTTGAACTCCCAAATTAATCTACTTTTAAGAGAGTTCTCTGACAGCACAATTAGACTGAAGGGTTGTCAGGACTTCATACGGTATTTATGTTTTTCAGTTATTAGGTAGATGAGAAGAAAAACTGTTTACCTCCTGCCTTGGGCACTTACATTTTTTTTTAGCATTACTGAATTTAAAAGCACACAGAACTCTAAGAAAGTTCCATTTATACCTATTCAGAAAGTTTATCCAAATACAATCTTAGAAATCACCTGGGACTTTTAGGAGTTAGTATTGGTTAAAGAAACCAGCAATAAAGACAAATACTGCATGCTGTACAACCAACACAAACACTATATGTCAGTCAAATTAAGAAAAATAAATTTTCTGGTTTACATTTTTTTGTAATCACACCATTCTCAAAAAGTCAAATTTTCACTAAAATTTGCTATATTCCTCTTGTTTCAAGTGACTACATTTTGAAACTCAAAGTTCACTATGTACTTTTGCAAGCAAAAATTACTGTTAATAATCAATAGACTTAGGGTACTGTAAAATTATGGAGTAACTCTGAAATACATCAATATTTTGAAGAATTTTAAACACTGGATTTGTGTAATCTTTTCTGACACGCTCCTGGAACCTTTTTTTTTCAGATTTAGAAAGAGAATGCTAATTTTTATCAAGTCATTGCGACATGTCAAGTTCATGTGGAAGATTGTGGTGGTTTCTTAATTTGTACATTCAGCAGTGTATGAATTTTCAAAATGAAACACAGTCCTACAAAACAGAATATATAAACTGTTTTATATTCAACTGCATCTCAAATCCACTGTGTTTCTGTATTTCAGAGTGCTGGTATTAGTTAACTACAGCAAATGCATAATTTTATCAAACATATCCCAAAGGAAAGATGCAACAAACCAGTTGATGAAAATAAACCAAATTCTATACCACGATACTTTTTAAAATTAGTTCAATGAAAACTAAAACAATCAAAAAAGAAAAGATATTCATGATCCTTTTGTATTTAAATTTTCTTTGGCAAGTCACCATCTATATAAATTAATACTTTAAAAGAGACCGAAGCCTTACTAATTATTAAGATATTCATAAAGGAATTATACTGTTGGGAATAGCTAGCAAAATGTTTCTCAAGACACAAAAAGTGGTTTTAGTAAATAGCAGCAGTACCTTCAATATTTTTGGATGGCTTATATGCATAATTTTTTACAATCATCTTAATGAGATTCATGCATTGTACAATAAACTGCTCAAATACAATTCCTTCACCAGCTTCTGTGAAAACATAGCTCACAGAGAACTCCAATGATCTCTGAATCAAAGCAGTGAACGAAAAAGGATGTTGATCTAGGAAGTCCAAAAGCTAAAAAAAGAAGTAGAAAAGCAAGAAAGAGAAATCAAAACACTTTCTGTGTAAGTCTTATTAAATGCTTTAGTAAACTAGTTATCAAAAACAAGTGTCAACTTATGTAAAATTATAGAAAACTGAACACAGACAGGAGATTAGAAAGAGATCAGTACCAATGGTTAATGAAGCATTATTTAACACCAAGATTCTTGACTTCAATTCAAAATCACTTCTTTCTTAAGTCTGAGGAACAAACTCATTTTCAACTAGACCAGATTGCTAGAAGTAAATAAAATACATTAGGCATACTTGAAATGGTGAACATTTCAGCAGATAATTCATCCTTATTAGAACTGTTTTAAGTAGAAAGAGGCATGTGGAATAAGACTTTTTTTTTCCTCCTTCTTCACTGCAGTATAAGCTTTCTCAACTTAGCTTTTCCAACTCCCCATTTAAAATGCACTGGTGGATTGCTTTAATCTCTTTTACTATTGCAAAAATTCTTGCATCCAAATTTCTACGCGGTAGAGTATCTATTAATCAAGTGTATTTTCTCTTCAGATCTGCAAAAAAAGATGCACTTTTGCAATGTAAGTAGTATGACAAAGACCAAAAATATTGGGTCATAGCATCTTCAGATCAATTTTGGTGAAGCTGATGGGTGCCTTCCCCTTCTGATAATTAGACTGAATATTTAAAATACATCCATGGCCCCTAAATAGAATCTGAAAACAATGGGAACCCTGTAGGTTTTTAACTTCAAAACAAAAAACAGAGCAAGTGACAATGCTAAAATTACCTTCCAATAATATATGCATTTAATGAACACAGAGTTAGCTGACAACTCCAAATGTATTATGCAATACAAAAGTCGCAGAGGGGTAAGAGAGTTTTTTGTTAAGTTTCTTTTGATAAAATTAAGAGTGGTCAGTAATTCTACAGAACTAACAGGGTTGTAGAAGTAACGATCTAACTACTTACAAAACACAGAAAGAAAAGTTTCTCTTCTTTATTCCTCAGTAACCTTACCATTGTTTTAGCAAAACTTCCAGAATGCTTCTTTGAGCAAAATCCTAGCTAAATAATTTACTTATGGAATGCACTTCATTTTGTTTGAGCTAAGGAAACGTATTCTTCCATGGTTGCAATCTACATCAGCATGAGTAAACAGACACCCTTTTCTTCAAAAATACATTTCATAACAAAGAAGTTTTAAGTTGCAGTACCTTCCATTTCTTTAAAAGATCTGAAATGTATTCACTTCAAGGCACATATATATCTCAATGGGGACTGCCCCTCCAGAACTATAAAATATTCAGTAACTGAAAGGAGAATTTACTTACCACTTTAGTGAACAGAATTATAGTCTTTTCTAGACGATCCCTGCATATGTTTTCTGCTCTTATACTTCTACCTGGTAAATCAGACATTTAACAACTATCATTTTTCAGACTTTCCTTTTCTTTCTGGGTAGCTAAGTTTTAGAAAATTAACACTGGAAAAGAACTTATTTTTACTGTAGTTCATGCATTATGTCAGCCAGAAAAAAGTTCTATGGCAGAATATATTCAAAGTCAAATTCAAGGTAATGAGCACCAGGAAAAAAAAAATAAACTTTAACCATTTCTCTCAGCTGCAGTGAAATTCACTGTACTTGATCAGGCTACAACAATTGGGACATCATTACAGAATATTTAATGATAGCAATGAATGCAATGAAGCAAATGCTAGTACAAGAAAAAAGTAAATCAGTACTAAAAATATGAAAACGTCCTTTTAATAAACCTATTCTGTATCCTTATTGCATAACATTATGCATTTTTGTAAAAACTCCACTTTAAAGAATAATTTATTATGGACACTAGAAAACACTCTAAATTAAAAGACAAAAAAGGAACAAAACAAAAAAAAAAAATAGATAGAGATTTTAGGGGGAAAAAAAAGAAAAAAACAGAAAGTGCCATAATGAAGTCATACAGGCAAAACCCATGGCATAATACATGTAAACACTAATCCTGTAAGGTAGTTGTACCTGCTTTTGCAAAACAACCTAATGCTTAGCAAAGTGGAAATGGGAAGGTTCAGTTCAGTTCTTGCCTTAGAACACTCAAACCCCATGGATCCTCATATTCTAGGAGACTACAATAACCACCGAACTTCAGGATGGGATTGTCTTCAATTCAGTCGACTAAAACTAGGCACCTATCTTGTAAAAAATGAAGGAAGGGCCAGAAAGAACCTGATTACAGTATAGCAAAAGGGGCAAACAGTGGTTGTTTCCATCTCTTCTAGAAATAGGCTCTAAGTCCAGATCAGCCCCTCCTTACCTAAGTACAGGCTCCTAAGCCAAGGAACCTCATCAAAATTGAAAATATTAAAATTATACATAACTTATATCAAAAAAATTCTTTCTACTCAGTTTAGACATCTGTTCTTGGAAAAAGTGTTGTTCAATCCTAAAATAATGGTTTGGCAGGCTTCAAAGGACTGAACGGTTCACATCAGATCTATTACAAGTGTATGGACAAGGAAGGTGGAGAGAGTTCAGATGTAACACTGTCAAACATCTCCTTTTTGCTTGCTTCAGGTAACTTCCCTGCAAAAGCACTAACACCTGCCAATTACGCTTCTGATTCTGTCAACTGTGTTAACCTGTGGTTGCCCATCTCAAAGTACTACTTTTTCAGTTACAAACAACTAAGATTTGAATATGGTTTTTATTTCCCATTTGACATATACCAAAATATATAAGTACTGGAAAAAGAAACAACATAGAACTCTTCCAAAGAGGAAAACTCAAGATGATTTGGGTTTTAGTAGCAGCTCCATATTTTAATATAGATACCTTGTCAATCCATGACTTAAGATTTTTCTCCAATTAGCATTATGACACCAAACATAATTTTGGTGGGATTTTAGTCTGCTTATAACAAAAGACACTTTTACCGAATTCTTCTTTGATAGTTTCAGCAAGATTTAAAGTAACAGCTTTGCACTTATAAAAACGTATCTTGCACCTAAATGCTCTATTGATAGTGCTCTAAACTGCATTGTTTTCATCCAGCTTCCAATGTTTAACAACAAATACAACAAAAAATATCCAGATACTTACTACACTCCAGAAACTGTTTCAGCCGTTCAAATACAGCATGTAGAAAACCCTGAAAAATGAAAGTATACATGTCTTTTAAGGATGAAGCTTGGTTTGCCCTGTATTATAAAAACAAAGTTGTGTCAAACTGAATTAAGTTCAGATATGGTACCAGCTCAGACTCAACCTCATCACTTTTAACCTATTTCATTATTCTGGACAAACAATTTCCTCGTGAAATTAATAATTAGATAGGAAGCAGACTTCATAGATGATCCAAACTGACCTTATAAATACTACACAAACAGCATCTCTAGTAGAAGAAGGGATAGGTAACTGTAGACATATGCTTTAAAATATGCTTATCCAGTCCTATCCTGTTCTCAGCCTCCTAGCTTAGGACATAGGACGCAGGTACTCAATTCATCCAGCTGAACAGGGTTAAGGAAGGTGCCTGAGTTTCTTTCTCTGACCCTCCCCTCTCCATGGGCTGCATACCACAGGCTTTTATCTCAATCAAAAAAATTCCATCAATAGATGGATGCGATAGAACAAATATGGCATCACATTCACCACCAAACGAAAACATGCTTCTACATGAGGTGGGGGGGAGAGTATATGTAAAACATCTTCCAGTGAGAAACAGCGGTGTCACCATCATGTGATGTGTAAATTGGAAGGGGTACCTTTTTTCTTTTAAACATCATGCCATTAGTGTCACAGTGTTTAGGATCTACCTAAGATCTGACAGCTTTGACTAAGGACAACTTTGAGAGCACATTGCTTGATCTTCCTTTACACGACAAAAATGTGTGTCTTTCAACAATTTTCAAACATAGCTCTAACATCTGAAATCATCACAAAAGATTTCTAATCTAGAACTAGAAATATATACATGTCACTTACCATCACCTCTGCATTCCAATGAGGTTCTACAAAGCCATGAACTGTTAGTTTCCGAAGCACTAGGAAAAAAAAAAAATTACTTTCATAGCTATTTATCAGCTCTTGTTTTAACAGACCACAATTACAATTCCAGTTGCTGTGACTTTCTTCCAAGTCTACATTTTAAAAATTACACTTAATTTTAGGTCCCTGGGTGCCTCATCCATATCTAACTTAACCTTGTTGAAATTACTTTAAAATTCAGTATATTGTGTAAAACAATGAAGAGAACTCCAAGAATTACTGAATCAAGAAGAATTCTGTAAAAACTATAAGTATTCAATCTCTGAATGATTCTACAGTAGAAAAAGGGCCAAGTACAGTCAAGCAAGCCATCTTATAATTCTCTCAGTTCTGTATTGTCAGCAATATAGAAAAGCTGCATGCTGCACTTTGTGAAACAATTCAAGACAAGTATTGTCTACATTGCAAGCAAGGCACATGGACATCTCAATTCTTCAAAGCCACAAAAGTACAGTCAGGATATGTATTTACTCCACAGATAGGCATCTGAGCATCAAACTAAAGATAAACTTCTAAGGTTAGCTCTTCACTGGACACAAGGTGAACTTAATGGAATTAAACTCGTAGCTTAGTTTCACCAAGTAAGTGCTTAAAGACATGCAAGCCCAAATTACAACACACGTAAAAAAGCATCCTGTTACACCCTCCACTTTCTCACCTCCTAGACTTTGACTTCTTACAACAAGCACATTGGAAGGGTGCATACTGAGAAGTGGTGCATGTAAGACTAGTGTCTCCCCCTTCCATATGAGAAATCCTCCTTCTGCCTTGCTAAAGGTACAGGTAAAATAAACCAAGATTACTGTTTTTCCCAGTGGGCTTGGCTTTGTTAGAGAATGTGAACTATTGACCAAAGAAAGAACTCCTACTCATTCACTGTGAAGAAAGTTATTTGATTCTCTATATATAATATCATTCTATATTATTACCTTTCAATGACAACAAGGTCCTTTCTAGTGAATTTGCAGCTGCAGCTTCATTCCCCACACAAATCTGCTGTAGGAATGTATCTGTATGATGATTCCACAAGGAACATGCAAAGCTATAAATACTTGATGTAAGCTGCAAAAGGAAGAAAGATCAAGAATGTATTTCCTGAATTTTGTCATAGCAAAATAAATCTCTAAATTTTAAAGGCCAATGCCTACCATTAAATTATTTAATCCATCTTCTTCTATATCACAGGCCACAATGTTTAATTTGCTGCTTTGTTTACTGAGTTGTACTGATCCAAAAATGTTTTCCAGAAAAATACCTTGTCCTAATTTCAAGATGTTTTGAAAGACCCAGTGGTTTCCCTGAGTACTTGGGTCTATGACTCTAACGTTAAAGATAACTATTTAAGGCTACTTTCTTACCTGGTTTTCATTAAATACAACTGCTGGTGTATAATACGGTATGAAAGTTCAAAAAACGAGCCGCTTTCCTCCTCAGCTCTTCTCCCATAAGACTTAAACTGTCTGTCTTACAGCATAGTTAATATCTGAATCAGTTTACTCTGGGACATAGCAGTTACACACCCCTCTCTAATAAAAACAGTCTTGAACAATGCCTACAACAAAACTAACTTTATTTTGTTGAAAATAAATCTCAAACTTAATTTATGTTACAGTTCCTAAACAGTGCTTGCCTGATAAAGATATCGGAATTATAAACAGAAGATAAAGAATTTCTCAGTTATGGTAGCACTTGACAGCTTCATAATTAAGAAAGTTCGCACTCAGTCTGCTATATCCCATCAATGGAATAAAAAGCACATGACCTGTTTATTTGATTCTTTTGCCTTGAGTAAAAGTTAGTAAAGGTCCTATTTACAGGAGTCAGTCCTCAATGCCTTGGACTCCTGGTAATTAAAATTTCACCTTCATGATTACACAGACAGAACTTTTTTCTACATGGATAAATAGGTAAACCTCCATAAATAGTCTTAATTTTTTTGCTTTAGAAACTCTTTAAAATGGAGGAATAAAATAAAATTTTGAAAATGCAAATGTAACATCTTTGGAAAAGATGTTTAACTCACTACATTCAGTTAACTGTACTACATTGTTACCTAACTCCAAATGTTTGGAAATGCATAGCCTACAACAGAAGTTAAATCTGTGTTTTAATCACTGGATTCTTACAAGGGAGAATGTAAGCTGCATGAGACAGGATTTGGCATTTGCATTGCCATCTTGCCTTTTCATTAACCCAGAGAGTTGGTCTGGAAAAACCGCAAACATATTCCCACTGATGACAAAACCAAAAACACAGTAGTATGGAAGTCTACAACCCAGTATTTTTTAAAGACTATAATGAATTATAAATCCAGAGCACACTTCCAAAAAACACCATAAATTCACATAAAGTAAGATCTGCTGTATGGCATGATAAGGTTGATATGCAGATATTGTTCTGTAGATGAAACTCTGCTTCTTTACACAAATCAAGATAAGAACACTCCACCTGCATGAAAAATTAATAAATATTCCAAAAACATTTCACCTAGAAACTAACTTTCAATTATTTCATAATACAACCAGCATTTCTGTTTCAAGGGCAGGCATTCAAGCCCACTGACATGCCATTAATGCCCTGTCAGCTAAGCCCAGGAGGAGGCAAGGATTATTTACATCATAGAAAAGTTTTCTATCTGCAGCAAGCCGCTTGGATGACAGGGTCTTCGTAACATGATAAAAGGTAAGCAGTGCTCTGTGCTGTTGAAGATCATCCTGCACCTTCACAGATTCTACAAGAGTGGGTATAAGTTCCGGCCATTGCCTTGGGCAGTCCACCCTGGCAACTTTAGCAATCAGTACAGAGATCTGAGTAGCTATCTGCAAAAAAGCAAAACAAAAAAACAGATAACACAAAGTCAAAGAGCATTTAGGAAATGTACAATGCAGAAATTAACAGAAAATTAAAACCTGAATCAAAAAAGTAGCATGGATTTTTATGTGCTTTTCTCAATCTATTTTTAAGTTTGATGAATGCAAATAAATGTGGACTAAAAGTATTTTATTTTATTTACATAAAATGCTAAACTTGATATCTTGTTTAAATTTTATATAAAGATCAGTAAATTTATTTGTTCTAGAAATCACATAAACGAAGAAACAGATATTTGGGAACCACTTTTTACTTAGCAATCTTTTCTATCACTTTCTGTGAACACAGACTGCTAAATACACATTACCCCTAATTCTGCTCTGCCTGAGTTTAGATTTTAGACAGAGTCATTCCCACTGCCAGGCATGGTAAGCCATGGTCCCATCCCACTAGTTGAAGCTGAGATTCTCTTGCTCCAGATCCTCACATCACACGCCAGGGGCACCTGCACCACTCCCACCATCTGACTTTGGTTGCTGGCCCAAAATCGTATTCTCATGAGTTCTGCCAGTAGCTGGCACCTCATCCTTGCAGTCCACATATGTGATGAACACACTGAGATTACACAGCGAGACAGGTAGTGGATGCAATCAGAAGACAGGACAGGCAGTTGAGGATTAGGCACAGGGTTTGTTCAGACACAGATAAAGACCATCCATGGTTTACACCCGACTAGCCCATCTTATGCCCTCTTTTTGTCTATTCCACATTTTGCTGATTTTGCAACTCCCTTCCCCTAAACACTCCTCACTAAATTTTGTATGGTTCCTCAAAACCCCATCTCAAATATTCAGAAATTTCACAAACTTGTTTTCCCTATTCTTATCCCATTTCTACTGAAAGGATCCTTGACTGTACTAGTGAAGCAGATGCTCTCACCTTCAACACACCATTACTATACCATCACACTTCCAGCTACCAGAAGGAATCCAAGCAATTTGCAGGTCTAAGGGGAAATAGCTGTGCCCTCCTCTACTGCTTCCTCATCTGTTTAATCCAGAGCCTCATCACCTCACAAAGCTTTCTACTATATTCGCTCCTACCAACCTGCTTACAGAGAATTGCTTAAGGAAAATGACATCAACACTCACAAGGAAGAGCTGGGAGTCTTACTGATTATCAGAACAAATTATTTCAATTGGGAGTGGGGAGCAAATAAACTCCTCTCAGTATGTCATACAAGAAGCAACCTCTCCAGGGAGGCCAAGAGTACTTTTTCCTTGAGGATTGGCTTTTTAAGTTAAAAAAAAAAAAAAAAGAAAAAAAAAGATTCTGCTGTTGTACATTTGAAGGACTATTTTGCTCCTCTGTTGTCTCCATATGGCAAATATATTCAGAGAGCATGGAAATTAGGCTCTCAACATATGGTATGTTCTCTTTTTCTTCTCCACCTCTCCTGGAAGTCAACTTGTATCATCACATCTCAATACTATGTCTATTTCTCACATTTTTGTCTTGTTCTTCTCTGTATAGATGCAAGAGTCATAATTTCTCTGTCTTCAGTGATGCAAAAAGCACAAGCAGAGAGCAACCATGCTATGAACTATCTGCAGCTGGAAAAGAGCACTCATCAAGAACACAGGATATCAAAACTCAGAGATATCAAGCAGGCCGGGGACTAAATGAAAGGTTCATCTGAAAGGAAACCCCAGGATATCTATAGATTGGGGAACTAGAAGAAAGAAGGGGAGATGGACTCTGTAATATTCCACACATTGTTTGGGTAATTATTTAGGCTGCTGGCATAAAACAAAATCCTCCACACCTTAAAGAATGACATCTCAAAAAATATCATAAAGAACACACAAACAAAAACATGAAGCCACTAGTCTTTAAAATGTCATTTAAAAAGGTTCTAATCTTAGCTGCAACTATAGTCTCAGAACTGCAGAACTGCTCAGCAGCAGTGGAATTTATAACTACAAAATATCCTGTTGTCTTAGCAGGTAAACTGATTAAAGATTAATAAAGGTATGGAAAAAGTGATACAAAGTTTGAATTATTTTATGAACAACATAGTTAATACTACTTTTTTATACCTAATTTACCTATTCACATCTGTAAAAGACATGTAAACTCTTAAAAATGAAACATTTGTTAAGTTATATACTACTTAGTAGAAGCATAAATACACACTCTATGGTCTGACTTGACATGTTTCATAGTTCTTTTTGGTTGAAATAAAGAAACAAATAATATTCAGTCATACTTTTTACATTGAAACTATACCTGGACTACAAATTTTAAAATACTTTCTATATACCTTCTTTTTTAAAAAAACACATTTGCTATTAAAACTTTTAATTCTAGTCAAAATTATCATTGCACAAGGGTCTTCTACAAAGTCTAAATTACCCTAATTTTGATAAATTGCTCTAATCCTAGAAATTACATTAATCTCATCAAGGAATCCTGAAACGTTAAAACTGAACCACCTGCAGAGCAGAAGTTTATGTTCTTTTTAACCTTTAGCTTATGCCAATCATTTCTGTATTTTCTTGAAAAAGTTCTTTAAGATCTAGCTCAAAATACTAGCAAATACTTCCTTGTAGAATCTCATACTTACATGATAAAGAAAAAGTTAGCAGAAGGAAGATTGATTCATCTAGTATAGGCATATTCTGAGTCCCTAACATGAGTTCTAGACTCAATATAATAATAAATTCTTATTCTAATCAAAATAGAAGCTTATAATTAGTCACTTTAGACAAGAAACTACCATACTGAAACTTTATTATGCTTATTTCAATGCATTAATGCTGTAACTAGACATGTAACAGCAATACTGCTTAGGTGGGTTTATCCTGCAGCAATCTCAACAGCTCATTCCTGCTACACCACCACAACCACCACACTTCCTTGTATGGCCATACTGGAAGCCAGGTCAGAGAACAGATACAGCTGAAAAAAACGAAAAACCATTCAAGGAAAGGTTATTTTTGAGCTACATCCATTCCTAGAACCATTTCATCAAAACAGTTGCATAAACCTTGCTGTTTAGGTAAGAGACAACATAAACTGTCGCTGCAACAACAAAAAAAACCACCAAAAAGACAAAACATGTTTCCAACCAAAGTAATTCTACAATTTTATGAATTATGACATATGGAAAAAGATATCACTTCAACATAAAGATCTGTTTGAAAGACAATATGAAAACTGCAAATTTATTATTATAATTAAACACTTCATAAAGGAAAAAACCAAGCCATATACCAATAAAACCATTTGCTGGGGGAGTAGTAAACATTCACCACTAACCTGATTCACTGGCTCATTAAAGTTGGTGATAAGTCCAGCACGCAATGTAGTTTTTTCTTCTTCAGAGAGAGCACTGTCAGGATATATTTATCAGAATATTACTGATATTAAAAACTACTATTAATTCATATGTAACTACTGAAAATAGTATCAAAACTATCAAAAGAACATTCATTGTTTTTCCACTATCTCAACTATCTTTAAAAGAGAGGGAACAGTGAAACAAATACTTATGATACCTTTTAACCTCAGGTTTTGAGACCTGAGGTAACCTTTGTAAAGACAGATGGCAAAAGAGAGAGCTGACAGAGTAAGATACACAGACATATAACGGAAAAACATAAAACTGTACAAATTACAAACTGATTGCTATTTGACAATTATTATACACTTATTACTGCCAGGACTGATAATTTGAACATGAATTTGCCCATAACCAAGAAATGCCCAGAATAAGGCAATCACCTTATCAGATGAAAGCTCTTCTTGCAAAAGCAATAGTTCTTTTCTATTACAAACAAGTTATATATTTATACTTAAAAGTATGGACCCTTTGAAAACTATAGCTTTGGGTGAAAAGTATGTTGACACATTCTCCAAAAAATGCAGGGGAAAACAGGAAGAAAGACAAATTCTAAGCTGTAAAGGTTAATTTGCATTCAAGTGCAACTTTGTGGCATCTTAATACTTCATTTTTAGAGACTTCTTTCAGTTTAAGACTACAAGTTACATTATCATATCATTCCTCTACTAATTCAGACTTCATGACTCATGCAATTTTCTTATAATTTCTAGGTAGAAAACACAACACAGTGGTTTTGAAAATGCTTTACTAGTATTTATAGATTATACTAGCAGGAAAAAAAAAAGAACAAGAAAACCCCAACATGTTTTAATTCAGTGATAGCATCTATAGTGCTGTTTCTTCTTCATAAAAAGCCTTTAAGCTATCACCCAAGCTTGTTTAAATGAAACAGTTCCATCTAATATTGCAATGATTCAGAAGCATGAATGCAAACATCACATCTCAGTGAAGACTAATGGCTGAAAATTAAGAAGATTAAACATACCAACACAACCACTTCCTGTTTTCTGACCTCAGGCACAAATACAAACCTACTAGTTTTACATACTGAGATATAAAATGATGCCTAAAGCTCCCTAAAGCATAGCTTTTACACTAATCTAGACAAATACTAGATATTAATCTCAAAATAATAAAAAAAACCAGAAGTAGGATTTATCATGGGGTCAAATGTTTGCAGAAATATTACAGTATTCTCTTCCTGCCCCAGGCCCTGCACATAACACAAGTACTCTCTATTTCCTAGATCAAAGACTTATCATTCAAAGTACAGTAGACAAGGGGGGGAAGTCATTGTTTCACTGGTGACTCAGAACTGTACATTAAGTCTTATTGTCACACGTAATTTACAGCATTCAGGAACCACATTTAAATTTAATTTTTTTTTAATCAAGACTTAGGTTTTTAAGATTTTTCTCAATAAAATTAAGTTATGCCTAAAAATATTTTGGGTAAAATTTACAAGGATTTCTGCAACAATAAGTTTTTCTGTAGGTAACTCTTCAATTTATTAATCTAAACCCACTAGATTACATTTCATGAAAATAAATTTTTGTGGTCCTTTTTTATAATATGAAAGTGCAGTATATAATTTCCACACATACAGACATACTCTAAGTCCTTTCTAAAACTTAAATCTCTTACTAATATAATTAAGAATTCTATTCTCAATTAAATGTAGCTTGTACAATACCTCCCTTTCAGAAACAATAGAACCTGGTTTGTAAAGAAAAAAAAACCCTGTTCTACTGCATTATTTCAGATACCTTCTTTGTGAGCTCATGAGACCCCTTGCCTTAATTACTTTTTCATAATTATAATTACATTGAACTTATCATATGCATAGTCTAAGAGCAGCAGAATTCAGTTCACTATTTACTGTAAATAAAAATGCTGTAATTAGGCTTTTGCCATGGCAAACAAAACAAAGGCAGGAAAATAAACAGATTAATGAGGATGAATGCCTCAAATACAGACACTTGTGAGAATTAAAGTTGGAAAACAGTAATGAAAAAAAAATTTTAGAAATTAGGTGCTGATGCAAGTGGTACACGGCACTGTGTGACGGGATCTCTAAGGGTTCTCGGACCGTGGCTGGAGGAATTTACTGCCTAAATACAACAGTGACACCTGCCGGAGAACAGGGACACTCCCAATCGCCCCAGTGGCATCCTCAGCCCCTGCAGGAATCACAGTCATCGCCACTGGCACCACTGTCCTCATCTTCCCATTGCAAGACAGTCCCACAATTCCATACATAAAAGTTTTCGGCAGGCGAGCAGTTAGGAGGAATGTGTATCCCTAAGAGAGTTATTTCCCTTCAACACTGAATTACACCAGCCCAAAAATTAAAACAAGTTCATCTAGACATGAACTTCTAAGTATTTATGCCACAGTCCTTCACAGTCTGCAATTTCAAAGTTTCACTGATGTTCTTCTGTGTTTTCGGTATGGGCAAACAGGTATCCAAATATTTAAAAAGTTATTTTGGATTTCTGGCTTATGAGGAGTTATTTATAGTTACCACTCAAATAAAAAAATGAATTTGAAAAGTATTATTAAAGTTGTTAACGTGGTACTCAAATAAAAGAACAAGGTCCACAAGAAACAGGATTTAAAAGCAATTATCTGTAATATCGAAAACGTGTTCAACATTTGAATTCAAGAAAAGCCATTTCTGAAGAAAATAAAAACACATACAAAATCATCAAGTGACACAACCTTTTGAGGAGGTTGACGATAAGTTTCAAAAAAAAGGCCAAACTGTGCCTGAAAAGAGGCTAATGATAAGCCTAGGCTCATGGTTATCTGTAAAGCTGCCTGAAAAAACAGGAGGGAGAAAGTTCACAAGCTCATCTCCAAAATCACTCCCACTGGAAAATGCTGTTTTAAGTCTGATCTGTAGATCAAAACATGCTTTGATGTACTACTATCGATGGAGAGGGCACAGCTGCTGATGAGAGACACAAGATGAAAGACATGAATTTGCAAGAACAAGAATGCAATGAATCCTTCATGACATCCAAAATATGATTTGATCACAAAACAATCAACTGAGAAGTTACAGCTTAAACTGGTATTTCTCAAAATACCCTCAACATACTCTGCTATGAGAAAAGTCATCTGGGTGAGTGCTGACAGGATGTCACATAAAAGAAATTTAAAAAGAAAATTGGAAATGAAGAAACCGTTCGACAGAGTGAAAACTCAGTATGTATTTACCTCATGGAATCTTTAACAGCAGCCAATAATTTTTTGAATTTTTTTTATACTTTAATTGCATATAAAAAATGCAAAAAAGTGGCAGAAAAATTAGAAACAGGGATAAAATAGAATTGTATTGTAAATTCAATATAGATTCACCACATGGAATCTTTAATAATAGACAGTAATTTTTTTTATTTTTTAAATAACATTTAACTTAAAGCTGCAGGGAAACTACATTGAAAGACTGTTACTTAATTTTTACCTCAGTTCAAACAGTAAAATTGTAGTCACTACTTCTGCAGGAAATAAATCATGATTTTTTTCACCAGAAATGCTACTAGTATCTAAAAATATTAACAAATTGAAACAATAATTATTTTCTTGGGATAATGCTTACTAAGTACCAGTACTGTAACCAGCATCTCATTAGCCAGAAACGTCAAAGATACATGCCATCTTCCACGAAAAAGATGGTATTTTCCTTTCACATAAAAGAGAATCCAAATGCTTGTAGGTGATTTTCAATTGTATACTAATCCACGCATAGAAATACTCTAGTGTTTTACATAATAATGAAGGAGTACTACACTATTTAAAGTATGCTGTGGATACAGCATTTTATAACTTCTCTCTCTTTCGGTAGATCTTTGGAAGAGCTTACAAAATACATTAAACTATTTCAAGCAAAGAACTGAAAATTATGCTTTGTGCCACACTTTGTGCACTAGCTTAAATTCACAATCTATAAAAACAGGACAGATAATTCCAATTCAATACCCTGAACCTGACAGTGATGTCCCATCTATATTACCAGCATTTAAGAGATACTGAACACTTCAGAGAGTGAACACCTGCAGGTCTTTATGAGTTCTGGAATTGAAACTCTTCTTGAAATTATACTTATTTTTAAAAGAAAAAAAGAAGTATAGACAAAACACTGAGAAGTACCTAATTCTGTAGGTATTACATATTAAAATGGCACTTTTTGTAATTTTTAAGTAAATGATGTGGTGCTCATGAATACTGCTTGTATTTCTGATCTTCTCTGGAGAATTTTTCATCATGCTTTATCAGAACCCACATATCAGAAAAAAAAAACATGAAGACCAGAAATTGCTAGCATCACAGCTACTGCTTCTTTCCCATGGACATCTGCAGTATGAATCAGCTTAAATGAAACAAAATGTCTCTGTCATTCTCCAAGAGATTTACTATGTTTCATATTATCTACCATCAGAAAGTCAGGTGTTAACGTAACACAATGCATCACTTCAAACCTGGTATCTATGAAACAGCCTTATAACTCAGTTTTCAAAAGTAAGTCATGAACAATCATAAGAAGCAATATAAAGACAAAATGGTTTATTAGCAAGTCCTAAAGTTGAAGCATCTTATCAGTTTCACTGTAAATTCTAAAGTAATTTCTATGAACTAAGGATCTGCTGTTTTCCAGTTTAGCAACCATTACAAAGCCAGCTGTAGAAGGTTAAAAGGAGAAACACAGAACTTACTGTGGTGCCACCCGTCTCCAATAGCGATCAATTCCATTTTTAAAGTACAGCACAGCTAACCACCTTACATTCACATCCAAGCTATGATTTGTAAAGATATTCTGTTAAAAAAAAATTAAGTTAAAAACTGCACAACACACCACAAACAGGACAGAAACTGTATCAACAAATGCTCTGGTACATATATAAGTATACATATCTCTATATGTATGGGTGTACATAAACGAAATGCATTAGACAGGTAAGTGAAATGCTGTTTTAAACATTAATATTTAGAGATTAAAAATATGTTTATCACTTGCCCTAGTACTTAATTTATTAAACAAACAACATGCAAGGCAAATGTGCTGCTAATCTTGTCTGGTTGAGCAGGGAATAAAAGAGTAGTAATAAACAGAATCAGACAATTATTATACTCTTTAATGACACAGCTCTCAGAAGTCTGTTGCACTGCAGAATACAAGGTAATTTCTTATTCTAGTCAGAACCCAGCCTTCAGGCGACTTCTCCATTATTGTCGTTATTTAAAGTTTACTTAATAGCACTTTTCCACTGTATCTTACCAACAAGACTGAATAAAAACCTGGCTGTGTCTCCCACTGCTTCAGTTGTTCCTCAGCTGGCTTCAACACTGCAGTATCTTGGCTAGTAGCTTGGGTCAAGACTCGTAAAACAACAGTGCTAGCACTGTTGAGATCCATGAAAATCTGAGAATGTTCAAAAAGAGAGGAAAAACACTTAAGGAAAAAAAGACAGCCAAATATAGACAGGTGTCTTCCATTCATATTTTCTGAACACCCCACACTAACTTTTCGTTAGACTACACTGTGTAAAGATAGCATTACACCCACTCAGAGGCAGTTTCAAGGTACAGTGATTAAACTATTTTCCTTTCAAAAATCTCTCAGCAGAAAAAGCAAGCATTAAATCTATCATTACAAGCACATTTACTAGATTTGAGGAATTACAGGAAATATTTTGATTTTAAAACAGTTACCTCTCCTGTGAAGCACAGCAACGGAGAGCAAAACCACAACTAGAGATGACTTCAGCTGTAGGCAGAGTAAACCATGGGGCTGTCTGAAAGAGGAAAAGATGCAGATTATTAACACTTCTGTATTTTCTTTTTCCTTCAGGAGATAAAATGATCCACTTCAGATAAATACTATGATAACTCAAATTCATCAAAACCATTCCTATCAATTAAAAAATAAAGAATTAAGCTTCACAATTAGTCGTAAATGAAACTGAATTTTTCTTGATATATTTGACTTCCTTATGTATTTAGCATAAAAATGCTAATCAGCTGAACTATGAATGCCTATTGCCTAACTTCCAATATAAATACATCCTCATACATCTTTGTACTCTATGAAGACAAAGCAAAACAGTGTTCTCCAAATGACAGAGATTACATTTATAATGACCACAGAAACAACATTAGAAGAAAAAGACGCATATTTAACTAACATATTAACTATGAACTCTGCCAAATAAAACTTGTTTTGTGTCCATAAAAAAAATCTGCTTACAACCTACCCAAACTTTTGTAACACACATACATGCTAAATATTCATGCTATCTGAGTTTTCAGATATACCAAGAACTAATGGTTTTGGTAGTAGAATGTATCCCAGAAACTACATGTAGCTGAGCCAAGTGATTTAAAAGGACTAACCAAGCAAAGCAAAGAAACAATGAAGAAGGGAACTGAGGCAGCCAGCCAAGCAAAACCAAGTTACTCTATAACCAGGTGTATTGTCTTAAAGAAGTTCATAGGCAGTCCCTTAGAACTTTGGGGGGGTTCCAGACACAGACAACCACTAGAGACCCTCAGTGAAGCCTCTCAGAGATCTTATAAGGATATGTATATATGCTAATAAGTGTTGGGAAATGTCATGAATACATAATTATTTACGAAAAGTGAATAATCATGTAATGTGGACATATGAGCTGTAGTGCAGATACTCCTGTGCGCATTTTGGGAGCTGATTCCCAGGGCACACAGCATGCTGTGACCGCATTAAAGAATGTCTGGCTGCTAAAACTCACAAATTGAGTCTCAGAGGTTTCTTTTAAGAGTAAATTTTAGGCAACATTCATATACTTAAGCTTTCTAAATCAACAACCAAGAACAGTTTCTCTTCAAACAGGACAAGAGGAAATGGCCTCAAGTTGTGCCAGAGGAGGTTCAGGTTGGACATTGGGAAGAATTTTTCACAGAAAGGGTTGTTAAGCATTGGAATGGGCTGCTTAGGGAAGTGGAGGAGTCACCATCCCAGGAGCTGTTCAAGAAACAACTGGATGTGGCACTCGCTATGATCTAGTTGACAAGGTGGTGATCAGTCAAAGGTTGGACTCAATCTTTGAGGTCTTTTCCAGCCTTAATGGCTCTCTAACTGGCTTTTGTTTAATGTGAAAAAAAGTTCATTTTTCCATCTTCAGGAAAAAGAGATTAAAATTGTTACAGCAACAGTAAAAAAGTTCGAGAAATCAAATTTTATTCTGATACTGGTTTAAAACTTTCATCCTTTGAGAAAATCATCTTAACAAAAACTAGCAACAATATTAAAGGCCTTTTATACCATCAACAGTCTTGTACAATTAAAAAAACCTAAAAAACCTTAAGAACTCTCAATATGTAAGTCTCCAATCATGCTCAACAAAAACTGGCTAAAAATTGAGGGTCCTAAGGTTAAAGAAAGTATACTTTCCAACCAATGAACCACAAAATCACATCTCTCTCTACAGCAATAATTGAAAAGAACAAGTGACTCCCTCTCTGCTTTCTACTTTGCATACGATGAGTCTTTTAATCTTTCTGCTTTAACCACTTGTGGCCAGGTTTTGGTAGTGGGGGGGGGGGAGGCTACAGGGGTGGCTTCTGTGAGAAGCTGCAAGAAGCTTCCCCCATGCCTCACAGAGCCAACGCCAGCTGGCTCCAAGATGGAGCTGGCCAAGACCGAGCCCATCAGCAATAGTGGTAGCACCTCTGGGATAATATATTTAAGAAGGGGGAAGAAAAACTTAAAGGCTTTTGCTTCTACTAAAAATTTATAAACTTCATCTAGAACAGTTCTCACCAGAAGACAGTTGAAATTAGTAAAGTGCGAACACAAAAAACAGGAGGCTTTTTTCCATTTTCTTATTTCAAAATGCTTAGCTGGTAGTTGTAAATAACAAACAACAACAACAAAAATCAAAGAGAAATATTCGCAAAGCTTCTTTTTTTATTAATGCTTCTCATTCTTGAAAAGGTTTGTATCTGCATGTAAAAACCAGAGCACCTATTGCTGCTCAAAAAAAAAACTAAAGAAAAAACAAGATAAGTTTAGTGGGTCAGAACGAAAATTCCATTAACCAACCCCATGTTCTTTCTCTGTCAAAACCATAGGAGATACCCAGGTCAGGACATTTCTACCTAATGCTTTCTCATCATCCAGAAAACCTTGGTTCAAGGATTTCCTAGTAAGAGGCAGACAATTTATTAGCACTCAAGAGATTAGGCTTCCATGAATTTGCCCAGATGCTCTTTGGCCATACAAACAACAGCCCTCATACAACATTGGATGAGGGTGTCACATGCAAAATCAAATTAAAAAAAGAAGAACCCCCTAAAGATGGGGGATCTTTTAGATAAGGTTTATAAATACTGTAAAATATTTAAGGAAGTGATATATTCTGTATGATTTGGATGGCAAAAAATTAACTGGAAAAACATGAATGAATACGTAAAAAATACAAAAGGCAAGATGCACAAATGGCAACAATGATTCACTAGAGCTGGGATTTTCCAAAGTTGATTGCAAACCTATAGTCAGAACAAAGAGCTGTCCACGGCCTTTACACCTCAAAGATTCCCCTAAACAGTTTGTTTTCTTCTAGTAAGTCACTAGTCTTATTTGTACAATTATTTTCTTTAAAAAAAAAAAAATCTAAAAAAACCTATTTTGAATCAATCCTTACTGAACTTAACTTTACTTATCAAACTCAAATTTGCTGTTTAAGCTAGCTACAAAGTTATGCTAATACAAAGAAGTATGGTCACCAAAATAAATAGTATGACTCTGCTTCTTCCTGCACCCCTTAAGTACCTGAAGCTGGAAGGAGTGAAAAAATGCAGTTTTGGTTTGGGTCAAGCAAAATGATCCTATCATTTTCACACCACATTGCCTGACAGGCTAATGTGTTAGGTATAAGAAAGCGGGCAGAACAGATATACATAGCTTTTATTTCACTCTCCTTCTCCTAAGTGAATTAAACTTAAAGCAAACTTACACATTATGACTGAGCCATAATTACCCACAAAAGGCAGAGGGGCACACACAACAAAAAAACCCAAACAAGCCAAGAAGTTAAGACATCTGAGCAGAGTGTTCCACAAACAAACACCAGAGGACATTACCAGAGGAGGGAGGAGGAGGGAGGAGGACATTACAGGAGGAGGGAGGAGTACGGAACTTCCAACAATGTCAAGCCATTACAGGGTCAGGTCCCAGCATGCAATTTCAACTCTGACAAAGTCCCTCCTTGCTTTAGCTTCCCAATAGTAGGATTTCTATTGGAAACTTATTATCTGCATGCCCTCTGCAAAAATTATTGACTCAATGAGGGCATCAGCTCACACCTCGTGTTAATGGGATCCTCTCAAAACACAGTTCTAATTACAGCTGTGTACAGATACATGTGTGAAATCTTTTTCTGCAGAGAGACGCAGATGTGCTTCAGGAGATTAAACCCAGATCTCTCCAAGCTTAATTTGTTGTGACCCTCTTTTTTTTTAACTGATGCATCAGGGTCTCTCCAGATCATAATTTATACAGAGGACATACAGATGCTCTCAGACCCCACAGAATGGCAAAGGCCCATGAATACTGCCTTTAGTATTATGGGATAGAGATAATCTTCACCTCTTACAAATCAGACTTCGCTATTGCACAGAAAAGGCAAAGGGACATGGGGTACACCACAGACCGGTTAATTCACAGGGACATGGACTTTCTCCACAGCTTGCTGGGGAATTCTACAACTTCACTCACTGTTGAGCTGTTTCTACAAGACTGCCCTAGAGATGAAACTGAAGAGGTGAGTATTAAATAGCCATTATCTTTTGGATGCCTTCAGAGCCATGAGGTATGCATAGAAATGCTGGCAGAGTCTGCCAATCTTATAAGGAACACATTCTCAGAAGGTAGGCAGGATCTGCACTTCGTGCCACAACACCCAGAATTCCAGGGTAAGGGTAGCGCCTCCCATCTTTACTTACTAATGTCAGACCATGTCTTCACAATAAACATGGAGCAGTTTCAGGAATGTAGATTGCTTTCTGCTGCTCTTCTGTGGTTCACACCCATTGCTACGACAACCCAATTGCACATATAGGGTTGGGGTGGAAGGAAAGGAAACCCCTTCCACTAGAAAGTGTCCAGTAATGTCACCTGCAAACCAAGCATGACTCTATTGCCATGTTAGAATTTGTTCTTGTCTGAGGAAAAAGAGACTAATCACACACAATAAGAAAAAGCAGCTCTCCAAGATCCCACTGAATATGGTGATACTGAACTAGACAACAGCATACTCTCAAGACTCAGTTAACAGGAAGAAAACCAAACTCAGTTACATCTAGAACATAAGCAAGACACATCAAATGCCACCCCTCGGCACAATGAGCTAGTGTCTTCAGAAACCACAGGTACCAATACCAGTTCCTCATCCTTACCACCCACACTTCCATTCTTACTTCTAAACTACAATTCCTTTTACTGGCAAAAATCCAAGACATACTTCTGTTCTACTCTTCATTCTTTGATTCCCGTTCTAAGGAAGTATCTGCAAATGTACCTTGCTTTCAAGAATATTCCAAGTCTCTTAAATGTTCTAGTTTTATACTAGCTAGGCTAGTTTACTGTTTTTTCCTGAGCAGTCAATGCTTTTGATACAGGCAAAAGAGTATCCAGGTACTTTTCCCATCACACTAAAACACATCCTAATTTTAAAATTACATCATTTGTGAAAAGAAATCAAGGACTGTTATACATCTGTAAAGGAACAAAATGAAGAATTTAATCATTAAATACCTCCCTACTTCACTTTTTTTGGACTTCAGAGAATGCAGTATAACAACTCACTCATAACCAAACAACTAATTCTGTGTACTTCTTGTTCTCATTTGTTAGGAATTTAATCAAGTCTCTCACACTGTAATAAGGCACAAGAATGTATTCAGTTATGATTTTATGAAATCAGAAGGAGACAAAGCAGCACATGTATCACATAAAACACAGCGTGTTCTCACCGATCATAGTACAAACATTTTCTGGGATGCTTTAAGAGCACAAGTGATTCTAGAGATGTTGTTATCCTCTTTTAGTCAGTGTCTGAGACTGCTTCTAGAACAGTCTCCAGTCGGTTTCTCACAGTTCTCCCTTTCGTCAGTTCGAATAGGAAGAAACCAGGGAAAGGCCAGAGCAACTACTGTCTGGGATCTAAAGCCAATTAACTATGAGGAGAGGTTGAGGACTTTTTTAATGAAGTGGAAGCTAAGGGAAGACTTCATAGACACTTAAAACTAGAAAGGCACTTACCGAGATGACTTTCTGCTTCTTGTCAGTAGATTACACAACTAATAAACAACAATAAAGCTACATACTGTAGCTTGGAAGGTTCAATTAGAAACTTACTACTGTCTTTTACAGCACATTTGTTTTAAGAAAAACAGGAAAAACAAAGTTCTTGTGCTGAAAAGCCACAAGAACACCTTCTGAAACAAGTAATAGGAATGCTGGAGTTCACAATGATACTGATACAACACATTAGCTAGAATACTGACAGCTTCAGGAAAAGCTGGCAGTTACACTGATCTCTCCAGCCTTCTACCAACTCTTCCATGAATCTCTTTTCTAACATTGCAGTACCTGTATCAATCATGCCATGTTATACTTCTACTGAACAGTGAACCCAAAAGAACTAGTAGTATCTTGATTATTAAAGGTACTACTTAAAGCCACTAACAACTACAATAATCACCAAAATCACCACAATGACTAATGTTAGGCATTACCATGATTTTCCAAAACCAACATATTGATTTTTCTTTATGTAAATTAACAAGGCTACCTTTAATTTGCCCAATTTAAATCACAGCAAAGAAAACAAATTAAAAATGTCTCAGCAGGAAAGAGTTAGAGGTCTTTTTTTCCCATACTGCTACTGACAGAAATAGAGGAATAGAACTTCCAAAACTTCATTTTTACAGAAATTTAACACTGAAATTAAAACCTAAGCCTGAAAAAGCATGCAGAAGACACAAAAAATAAAAGAACAACAAGGAACACAGGAATAAAGGACAGCAGTGAGCAAGGCTGACAATAATGTTAAGGGAAGTAAGTCAGTTCATATTAAAAATTCTGAGGAGAAGAATGGCCTTTCAGGTTAAACAGTCACCAAAGCGACCAAAAATACCCAACAGAAAAACCAGGCAGTAAACAAATGAGTGGGATAATTTCAAGGACTAAATCAGAAGAGACTGTCACAGGGTTCAGTATTGATGACACAGAAAAAGCCAAATGGATATAGAGACAACGGAGGAATATTTTTAATAGTAAGTTTATAGGATGACCAATATAACAAGGTCAATCTCATTCTGTTGACTTCTTCCTAATTCACCTCATTTTAACAGACTTTCAAAAAGACACTGCAGAACACATAGAACAAACTAGTGCACAACAACTGAGATGGAAATACAAGTTTCAGTCTGCCTCATGCTCTGGAACGGGTTTAAGACACTCCAGTTTAACTACAGTTAAATTCTACTTCTGATGATACAGTTGCAAAATTTTATACATAAAGCATGGGTGGCGAAAACCTTTACTATGTCATTTATGCATATGATAGTAAATGCTCCTCTGTAGAACAGTACAAGGAAAGAATGAGACAAGAAAAACAGAGAGCAATGAAAAAATTGTTGCAATGAAGTTTCAGGAAACCAAAATCCAGAGGGAACATGCTATTTGTAAAAACTTGAGTAGTTCTAATACATTATGGATGCTAATTTGAAAGCCACGTCAGACACATTATAGACTTGACTTTATCTGAGACATGGGAAGCAAAGCTAACAGAAGCATAAGTGGGAAGCAGCATCAGTACTGCATTTAGGGCCACGTTCAAATATTTTACACACACTGTTGTCTCCTAAGGTAACAAACTGGAGAAACAACTCACCACTGCTGAACTCAGCCTGCGTCTGATTAAGAGAAGACTCTGCTCTGCACAAAACCTGCTGTTTTTTAGCCTGCAACAGGAAAACAACCACTTTTAATAAAGGCCAGTACACGCTCTTTCCCGAAAAAAAACAAGTTTTGACAGTAAATCACGCAGTTTAATGCTCATATCCCTTCGATGCCTTCTCGTTAATTCTACCACGACCGAAAACTGTTTCAAGCAGAAAGCGGGAAAGAGTTCCCTGGAATTAGGTAACAGTTATTTCTTCCCAGCTCCGAGCAGACCCTTTGCCAGTGCCAGCACAGATGGTAAGGAAGGCCGCGCTGCCCATCCCCGGGGGCAGTGCAGTGGAGCGGGCACCGCGGCGGACACTCTGCGCCGGAGCCGCAGCGGCTCGGGCAGCGCCAACGGGAGGCCGAGGGAGCAAAAGCCGGGGCTGGTGCGGAGGAGCAGTACCGCCCGCCGCGAAACAGCCGCGGCTCCATGCTGGAAGCCGAACCGCTTTTCCCTCTCTACTGGTCCCTTCCCGGCCTCGCACGAACCGAGAACCTCCACGGCGGCGCCACCAACCCTCGCCCCGGCGCGCCGCCCTGACGTCACTACCCGGCGACGCGGGGCAGGCCCTTCCCGCACTGCGCCGTCACACGGCGGGAGGGGCGGGGTGAGGCCTCATGCGGAGGAGGCGTCATTCGCCCAGGAGCGTTCCTGGGTCGCGAGCGCTTTCCGGGGGTTGGACGCGCAGCTGGATAAACCGAGGGATACCGGGAGCTTAGAATCGCTTCGCAGACGTGCTTTGTGGGCGTTCTTGGGCGGCTGCAGCGGCGCGGGGAAGGGCGTGAGGGCGGAAATGCATGATATTAATGCCAATGCATAGTGCTACAAAAATATGTATAAGACATTTAAAAATATTAAAAAATATGAAAAATAAAGTGTATTTCTTGCTAGCGGGTTTAACTTGAAGTGACTCGATTTTTGTTTGCTTCGGGGAGCAGCAAGCCCTAAGCCGGCCCGCCCTGGTACCACAGCCACTGTCCCGTCCGTGCTCCTGGTGTTCCAGTGGCTTCAAACCACTGCAGCGCCGCACAGGCGCTTTGTGCCACGCAAAGGCCGGGGGTTGAAGTGCCCCGTTGTCTTGTCGGCAGAAATCGGCAAGGGTCGCCCTGCAAAATCTTTCCCAAGGTTTGCACTAGACAGCACGTGCTGGATGGTGACAGAAGGAACCATTCCAGCTGTTCCTACAGAACAACGTAATGCTGCTGGAGATACTCTCTGGAAAACAGTGTTTCGTTCTGGGGGTTCCCTTTACTCTCTGTCCTCCCGCAGCCTTCCCTGCCCTCTGCGCACCCACAGCTGCCCGCAGCATGTCTCTCCTTGATTACCTCCCTTTCCCTCGTCCCTTCACTCTCGGCAGTCCAGCCATGCCAGGCAGGACTGCCGAGAAACCGGGCATTCATCCAACACACATACCATTTCGTGTCACACTGGGCCTTTCCCCAGGAGCTGCCCCGGCTGGGTCTGTCCTGTGCACGGGCCCTGCCTCCCGCTGGGGTGTAGGATCCAGGAGGATATGGGGCTAATGTGTTTGTCCCAAAAACCGATAGACGGGGTGGCTGTGGAGCCAATCAAGGGCTGTTGGTAATAACATGCCTTGAGAAAGAACAAGCTCTGGCTGGAGAAGGCGCCATGCAGGGGTAGAGCAGCAGCACTTTTCTGGGACAAACATCCTTGGTCTAGTCCACGGAGACACAACAAACAAAAGCACCAGCACAGAAGCGGCCATGCACTATCGCCCAAAGGTCGATCTAGTAGGGGGGACAAGACCATCCCCTCGAATCCCTCTGACCCCTTTCCAAAAAAGTCTGAAAGAACGGACTGTGCTTCCCTTCCCTTCCCTTCCCTTCCCTTCCCTTCCCTTCCCTTCCCTTCCCTTCCCTTCCCTTCCCTTCCCTTCCCTTCCCTTCCCTTCCTCCTCCCTTCCTCTCTCTCTCCCTGCCCCTCTTTAATTCATCTTTTCTTTCTTCCTTTTTCATCCTACCCCTTTATCCAAATCCCACTCTAGTGTGCTTAGATAGTAAGGGACTTAACACACTGATTTCCATGCGGTGTGTAGTTCACTTACAAAACTTAGCAAGCTTTTGCGAACGTTCTGACTTTTCCCTCTCACCACGAGCATTTACGAATTTGGGGTGCTCCCTTCCCCCTTAAGGGTGGGGACATCACACGTGGCAGGAGCCCCTTTTCGCGGGAGGATGGAGGGGGGGGGCCGCCGGGCCGCCAGGGGGCGCTGTCCGGCGCGGCGGGTGCACGCGAGGCCAGTCGGGGGCGGCGGCGGCACGTGGAGCGCGGTCCCGGGACGGTCGGAGCCGAGCCTGGCGCTTCCCGAGGGATCCCGGTGGACCTGCCGACATGCCCAAGGCGCGGGCCGGGAAGCGCTCGGACCGCCAGGAGGGCCGCGCCGGCGGTGAGTGCGGGCCGGGCCGGAGGGATGCCGGGAGCGGGGAGGCCGAGCACCCGCGGTAACACGGCGGTCTCTGCCCTAGGTATCCTCTTCAATACCGGGGCCGGGCAGCACATCCTGAAGAACCCCCTCGTCGTCAACAGCATCATCGAGAAGGTGGGAGGCGGCGGCTGTCCCGAGAGCCGGGCCTGGCCAGGATCTCCGGGAACGCGCGGTCCTGGCTCCGGCCCTTCCCGGGCTCCGCTGATCCGCGATTATTACCCCTGAACCGCGATTGTTGCCATCACGCTACCTCTTTTTCTGTGTGATTTTTTTTTTTTTTAACGTGGCTGCTTGCTGGCTTTTCTGAGCCTGGCCAACATAAGTCAGCGTTGGGACATTCCTGTTCTCCCTAATTTCCGCTCCTTCTTTTTTAAACGACTCTCACGCTCTCCTGATACCCAGTTTAAGCTTTTTGCTACGTAAAAACACTTAATCTTTTGTTCTGAAGTCAAATGGTTGCAAGGAATCCGTTCTAGGCAAGCACCCGAAATGCTGTTTGTCCTTAGGCTGCTCTGCGCCGCACGGATGTCGTTCTGGAAGTGGGCCCGGGAACTGGCAACCTGACAGTAAAGATGTTGGAGAAAGTAAAAAAAGTAAGTGGGAATTCCCCCCCCACGCACGCCTCTTACCACTGACCACATTGTGGCTTAGACTGTGGTCTTTATACACTGGATTCAAATTAGTAGAATCGCTCCGTGGATATTTTTCTTAACATTTGCATAATCCCAATGAGGTTTTAGTTGTCTGTGTAAATCTTTTGTTGTTTTATCAAACTACATTGCTGTTATCCATTTATGCCACAAAGTTTGCTCATATTCGGAGAGGGAGGAAGGTGCATAGGGTAATAGGGAATTTTTAAGAATTATTTAAACCTACGGCAATAGATACAGGGTTGGGGTTTTTTATGATTAAAATTTTAATCCTAGTTAGGAGATGTTGCATAAAGTTGCAAATATATGCTTTTTTCAGGTTATTGCATGTGAAATTGACCCTAGACTTGTTGGTGAACTTCAGAAGAGAGTCCAGGGCACGTAAGTATCAACTGTGGAAATAGTGAGCACTTGAAGCAGTGGAGCTGCTTTGACAAAACCTTAGCAACATGCTTCTCTGAGGATAATTACAATGTATTTTTTCCCACAGGTGTCTGGCAAACAAACTTGAAATCAAGGTTGGAGATGTCTTGAAAACAGACTTACCATTCTTTAATGCGTGTGTGGCTAACTTGCCTTACCAGGTATGGGCTAAACAATATGGTAGAACTTTTTTTCTTTTTAAATGATAATTTCCCAGAAATTATACTAACTCTATTACTCTTTTCCTCAGATTTCTTCACCTTTTGTTTTCAAGTTATTGCTTCATAGACCTTTTTTCAGGTATGTGGAAGAGTGGAGCTCTGTATTGCCTCTTAGGAAAACAAAATAGTTTTAAAAATATTTCCAGATCAAATTTTTTTTCGTTCTTAAAATAGCAGTTTGATGGATCAGAGCCACACCAAAATTCTTCTGTAATATAAACCTGTTAGTGCCTGGAAATTAGTTTATGTCGATATATTAAGATAAGGAGATTTAGTCTTGGCGTCTAGTCCAGCTTGATGAAAACAGAAATTACATCTCTTTAATATTATACCTAGTTATCATTCCAGGGATAAGTAGGGCATCGTAGCATTTCAAATGCCTTCCTATCTAAAAAAGATAGTGTGGAAAGGGTTGGATCAAATCGAAGTTACTGCCTATTGTCTGGTCTAAAAGTCTAATTGCCCAGGTATTTCTGTGTGTTATTCAGTATGTCTGCAGTTCTTGATTTCAGTCACTGAAGCACTAATGTTGGTGACATTACTGGTCAATTTTTGGAGAGTTTGAATAACCAAGGAGTTATTCAAAATGATTTGTTACAGGCAAGCAACTCTGAGACCAGCCTATGTCTTTGATCCTGATCCATTTAGCACTGTTAATATTAAATTCTGCTACATCTTTGAGGAGACTTAGATGCCTTCACCAAGTTTTCTGATGACTTGGGGTTTTTCAGAGCACTTTGACAAATTAGAGCAGAGTTTGTTTATGATAAACTTTTACTACTTGTAAGTGCTGAGGCAAACTGTGTGTTTTTTAAGTGTGTTAGTTGTCTTTTGACAAAAAAATTAATTATTTAGAATTAATTTTCTGATAACCTGTTATTCTCAGGTGTGCAATACTTATGTTTCAAAGGGAATTTGCACTTCGTTTGGTTGCAAAACCAGGAACTAAACTGTACTGCAGACTCTCCATTAATACTCAGTTATTAGCTCGAGTGGACCACCTGATGAAGGTATGTCATTCTGCATTAGGTAACAGAGCTGTCAAAGACAGAATGGTGTTTCAAGGGATGTGAGGATTTGCTGCTTATTCACACAGCTGCCTCACTGCTCTTGACCAACAGGTTGGAAAGAACAACTTCAGGCCTCCTCCCAAAGTTGAATCCAGTGTTGTAAGAATAGAGCCAAAGAACCCACCACCACCTATCAACTTCCAGGTGACCATTGTATACTCAACATAACATATTAGAGATAATACTACTCAGTTCTATGTGCTGATTTTACTATGAAATACCAGCTGTTTACTGGAGTTTCTAAAATACATAGTCTGTTGTTTAGGCTTGTGTTAGCACATTAACAACGTGCAACCATCAGTTTGGGTACAGCTTTGTGTACAGTAATTCTGGTAAAATCAAGATCAGTTGGAGTACTGCAGATAATGTCCCTTTCATCATAGATAATATCTCCCAGAGACCCTTACAGCTGATGACTTTGTAGGTTTTGGTCAAAGGAGTATCTGTGAGAAGTCTTATATTCAGACAAGTGTGTATAATCTCAGAAGACAGATGTTACGGGATAGCATTCTTAATTTTTAAAACACTTAAAGGCCACTTCAGCCTTGCCCAAGGTTAGCCAGATTTTCTTCAAATATCTGCTTTCTCAGCACATAGGATCTGACTAATAGTACCTAGGCACAAAAGAGTACAGTTCAGAGGTTTTTGTGGGTGAAGTATTTTCTCCTCCGTTTGTATTGCTTTGTCCAAGACAGGAATGGTTTTGTATTGCTTAGAAATTCATTTTCAT